ACAAAATCTTAAATATGCTAAAGTTTGCACTAGTCAACAAAAGAAGCTCAAAAGTTTAAAAGAAGAGCTAGGTAGTTCACAAGAAGCATACAAGAATTTGCTTGAACAATATGAAAACTTTGCAAATCTAAATGTTGAACTATCTACTAAAATTAAGCAACTTAAGGCTAGTGCAACAACAAGTGCATGCACAATTAACGATAAGCAACTTGAAAAGAAAAATGAAAAATTAAAAGAAAAGTTAGCTATCTCACAAAATGATTATCAAAGTTTGCTTGCTAAAATGGAAATCATGTGCAAACATTGTGATGAGCTAACTAATAAAGTTGCTAATCTTGAGATCGTCAATTTAACCTCCACCAAGGCATCTAAAAGAAATGACATAATTAAAAAGGATGCCTCTACTTCTAGCAATGATTTATATTTAGACTCACCCTTGTGCAACCAAGCTTGTGTTGAGAAAGTGATTGTAGATACATGCACACAAGAGGTTGTAAAGGAGAATGAGCAACTCAAGCAAGAAGTAGTTCGCCTCACCAAGGACTTGACTCAAGTGAAAGGCAAGGCGAAGCAAACCCAACTTCATCAAGATAACACCGTCAAGGGAGTGAAGAAGCTTGATGAAGGACAAACCATGGTTTGCTACGTGTGCGACAAGGAAGGTCACAAGTCCTATGAGTGCAAGGTGAAGAATAAGGGAGGAGCAAAGATGAAGGAGAAAAAGCAAACAAGCAAGCTCTCCAACACCTACACCAACAAGGTGGACAAGAAGACCTCCACACCTTATCTCTTGAAGAAGAAGAAAAATGACAAGGTGGTGGCCATCAAGGTGAACAAGCAAGTCAACAAAGGGGTCAAACGCTTTTGGGTGCCAAAGGAAATCATTTCAAACATGAAGAGCACCAAGAAGGTTTGGATCCCGAAAGGGAAATGAGAAGTCCGTCGGACATCGGGGAATTTGGAGACTTGGCAAAGTATGGGTGCATTTCATGGGGTGCATCATGATGGACAAAATCATTGCCAAGTGGGTTAGTGAATACTATGGACCCAAATTCCCCTTCCCATGTTAGGTAACTAGATTCAATTTACTTCAATTGATATTAGATTTAAAATTTTCCTACAATTGGTACCTTTTAGCATCTAGTTACTCTTCATGCCTATGTTTGCATTTGAATTCTTATATCTTTTGTCATGCATACACTAGGTATATCATATGGTAGGCTTGCTCGGTTTCATTCTTAACCCTTGGAGCAAACCTACATGGTTTAAAATTGCTAAGGAGCACGACACATAGCTTGTTTTACTATTGTTTATCTAATATGTGCTAAAGTCCAAATTGTAGATAATTTTCTCCCAAATATCATCTTTCAAGTGGTATTTTGACTCCAAAATCAATTGTGCATGAGTACTACAAGTATTCCATGTCTCCATGCACAAATTTAGGGGGAGGATCATCTACAAGATGGACGCTTTGAGACTAACACCTTTTTCAAGTTTATCATGTGTGTAGTAGTCTCATTGCAAGGAAAATGGAGTCCCCGAAGAGAAGCATCGTTCTTCAATTAGCATCATCATGTTGATTTCATTTCATATTTATATGCTTTCTCCATGCATTATATAGATTAAACTTTCTTGTGCAACAAATTGCTAATTATGCATATAATTTGCTTTCTACCATATGTATGCATATATTTAGGGGGAGCTTAGTCTATATAATGCGAGAGTCAAATTTTGTGATCTATTTCACTCTATACACAAAGGATCATGAAATTTGACCCTCCCTTATGCTACTAATGTCTTCCTTTTTAGTGTTTGATGCCAAAGGGGGAGAATTTGAAGGACCAAAGGCGTTGATGTCTACAAGTGGTAATGGTCCGAGAAAGGGAGGAAAGTGAATTATGGATTAGTCTATGTAATGGGAGAATTTTTTTTAGAAAGATAGGCTTTAATCCATAATATCACATGGGGACATTTGCAAGGGCAAGACATGTTTTTGAGTAAAGTTTTAATTGGTATCTATCAATTAGTATCATATAACCTTGTCCTTTGCATTGCATCCTAGCAAGTAGATAATTTTTAAATTTAAAATTTTTATCATTTGCTTGCTTTGGTCGTGTTGTCATCAATCACCAAAAAGGGGGAGATTGTAAGGAAAATGGACCCTTGGCCCATTTACTTTGGATTTTGGTGTTTGATGACCAATACAACTAAATTGGACTAATGAATTTGCAAGTGTTTGTTTTGTAGTCCAATAGGGTGCAAGACGTGACTTGGACGAAGGCGACATGATGATCTGATGATCAACACCTCAAGCAAGACCTTAGAAACACAAGAAAAGACCCAAGATGTCAAGCAAAGTCCAAGCATGAAGATAGGAACCAAGCCGTGCGTAAGATCACGAAGAAACGAGCTCGTAGAGGCGACCGGACGCTGGACCGGACGCTAAAAGCGCGACCGGACGCTGGACCGGTGGCTCGGCAGACAGGCGACCGGACGCAAGGACCGGACGCTGGCGGCAATCGATCGGACGTAGGAACGCAGCGTCCGATCGAGTACAGAGAGGTTCCAGGCGCGCGAAACTGCAACCGGACGCGTCCGGTGGCAGGCGACCGGACGCTGGAGCGTCCGATCGGTAGTTCGCGGCTACAACGGTCGGGACGACCGGACGCGTCCGGTCAGAGACGATTCAGCGTCCGGTCAGTAGCAGAATTGCGGGAGTTTGACCCCAACGGCTACTTTCTCAGTGGGGCTTATAAATACAACCCCCAGTCGGCCATTTGAGTGTGTGGAGCTGAGGAAACATACCAAGGGTGTTGATACACCATTTTAGTGATCTCCACTTGCTAAGTGCTTAGTGTTTCATCAGGTGATTAGCGTAGGTGCTTTGCGAAGTGCTTAGGTTGATTAGACCACCACTTATGCGCTTGCTCTAGGTGTATGCCTAGTGTTTAGTGAGGTTTGCATACCTCTTGCCACCCCGTGCTTGCGAGCACAAGAGTTGTACATCGGAGGGGCTTGAAGTCTTGCGAGATCGCACCAACCGCGTTTGTGGTGGGCCGCCACCACTGTAACCGAAGGGAACAAGGCCCTCGGCGTTTTGGCCGAAAAGCTTGATAGTGAAGACGGCGGGGAGCATCCGGGAGAGGCTTGCCGGAAGGCACGTCGGAGACCCACTTGCGCGTGGGGAAGGCCCGAGGCTATCCACGGAGTTACCCGACCAGGAGTTTGGCCCTTGCGAGGGATTCCTTGCGAGGGGCTCCAACGAGGACTAGGGGGAAGCTTGCACGCTTCTCGATACCTCGGTAAAAATACCGGAGTCGTCGACGGAAATTTGCATATCTCTACCTAGCTCTTTAAGCTTCCGCATTTACATTGATCATATTATTATCATTTGCGGTAGAGATAGCAACACACTAGCAAAACCGTAGTTGCACATCTAGATAGATTATCTTTTGCATAGGTTTTGCTAGAGGTAGAAAAAGAGGTCATAATTTAGAGTTAGATTTTTAAGTTGCCAAATTCCCCCCCCTCTTAGGCGTCCAGGTGTCCTTCAACAAGCAATGAGCAATTCCTGAGTGTCTCGTGTTGTTTAGAATTTGACCGATTGCACACAAATAATCATACTCTATTGCCAAACAATTATGCAAGTGATGATGAAGCAAAGTTTACCTGTCAAATGACATGACAACAATATCTACGGGTCAAAATAAATAAAAAAAATAAAAAATAAAAAATAGCTGGACGACGGTGGAAAACCGAGATTTCAAAGAATCTAAAGGGAAAAGTCCACGTTACCTCCTCAACTTTCGTGAAAGTCCATTTTTTCTCCCAAACTCTAAAACAAGCCAAAACACCTCCCTCAACTTTTAAAACCGTTCATCTTACCTCTCTGGCCCTATTATAAGCGGTTCTGAAGGCGATTTTTTCTTATTCTTTTTTATTTATTTCGGCTGAATCTTTGAAAAATGATAGTAAATCACAGGAAAATCGTAAAATAGAAAATTCAATTTTGTTGGACTCCACATGAGTAGATCTACACAGTGAATATATAATATGGTATGCTTTAATATAAAGTTTTTGCTATGGCTTATATCTATGCTTTTCTGTAATTAAATAGAATAATTCATAGCTTCAGTTTCTATGGTCCAATTTTGGTGAAATTTTAATGGTATGCTAATTATTATATGCTTAAACTATAGTAAAAAATTCATATTCATTGGATCATGTATAACTTAGTTATAGATTTTATTTAGATTTATGTTTGTTAAATATAAATAAATCTATAACTAAGGTATACATGATCAAATGAGTATGAAATTTTTACTACAGTTCAATCATGTAATAATTAGCCAATCATAAAAATTTCATCACAATTGGACCATAGAAACTGCAGCTATAAATTATTTTAATTAATTACATAAAAACATAGATCTAAAGCCATTATAAAAACTTTGTACTAAAGCATACTATATTATATGTTCACTGTATAGATCTACTCATGTGGAGTCAAAAAATTTGGATTTTCTATTTTATGATTTTTTTGAGATTTACTATGATTTTTCAAAGATTCAGCCAAAATAAATAAATAAAAAAACAAAACCGCTTTCAAAACTGCTTATAATAGAGCCAGGGAGGTAAGATGAACGGTTTTAAAAGTTGAGAGAGGTGTTTTTACCTGATTTTGGAGTTCAGGAGGAAAAGTGGACTTTCGTGAAAGTTCAGAGATAACGTGGACTTTTTCCGATCCAAAGGTGGGTCAGGCTCCTCCCCAGATGCACTGCCCTGTCGGTCGGTATCGGCCCATGGGCCAGATCCATAAAACCCTAGCCCGTGGCCTTATTAGTTAAACCCCCTCTTCCGACCTGCCGTTTCTCGCTTCCTCGCCAAGAAAGAAAAGAAGCAGACGCACCCCACCGCATTGTTCCCCTCGTCTGTCCCTTCCCTCCCCCAAGCCGCAAAGGCCTCCGCAAACAACCAGGCGGCGCGACCCCTTGAGCGCGATGGAGGAGCAGGTGGTGACGGAGCGGATCCGGCGGAAGATGGAGGAGGTCAACGCCACCGTGCAGCAGCACCTCGCCGGCGTCCAGGACCACGTCAACTTCACCATGCAGGTAAGAAAGAGTTCGGGCGGTGGTTCTTGGGATCCGCCGCCTCGGTTTCCCGTCCTCCGAGGGTTCGTACTGTTGGGGAGGGAGGAGCGAGATAGCTGTGGTACCCTGGTAAGATTGGCGCTAGAACTTTGGTCGGATTTTGGAGTTTCGTATTCTGATATGAAATTGCAGGGTGGAGGAGGGCGATAATTTTACTCTTCTTGTTGAAATTCTCCGGATTCTTTAGATGTTCCGCTAATGGAGGGTAGTGTCCCGTTAATCTGATACGGAGTATTGGAGGTTCTGAGTTGTGCGAGTCTTGGATCATTTATTTTGTTCGGATGCAATTAGAAGTCCCTGAATAAGTTTATTTGCCATTGCTTTTAAATAAATGTATAAGTGCGCGAAATTGGTGGGTATTGCTGCAGGACGTAGGAATGTCGAAAGAGCAGCATTGCAGTAGTGGGCAATGGATGCTAATTTTTTAGATATGTGAATATAGTTTTTGATGCATGTTTTTTTTTTCTGCCATCTCTTAGAGATCTGCTAGTGTAACCTTATTGTTTGGTACTAGTAGTAACCATCTACTCCTGGAATTGTTCACGATTATGTTTATTTCCTTCGCACAATTTCTGGATCTGAGAGGAAATTAATTTGGACTAATTACCTTGACATCGATTCTTGTGATGATGGAAAATGGGGTTGGACTAATAGTAGTAATTATTGGACTGAGGATATTTTATTAGTAAAAACTTCTAGTATGATTGATATCTTTGTAGGAAGGGAAGGGGCATGCTCCCAAATCGAAACACTCGAGTGCTAATTAATGTTTGAATTTCTGTTTTATTCTGATTGATTTTCAGCAAGCATACTTCAAGTGCGCATATGACTGCTTTGATCGGCGACGTACTCAAGAAGGGATCAACAGCTGTGTGGAGAATTGTAGTATGCCTGTCCTTACCGCCAACAATATTTTTGAGAATGAGATGGCCAAGTTTCAGGTACTTCTTATGTGCTGCAATACAAGTGTCATTTTTTTTTGCAGAATAGAACATAGAATTCTCTGTTCATCGTTTTTAGGTACTTAATTCCTTTCTGCTTGTGCAGTACTGTAATTATGATTGGTTATTTTTTTGATGCAGTGAAGTTAATAGTTCCATACCTGTAATTTTTTTACTTTGGAATCTTTCTGAATTTTATTTTAAGTTACTACTAATATTTGTTTTGTGTGCTCCATTTTGCTCTGATTTTATTGATCATTGCAAGTTTGCAACCACTCGAATGCTGTGTCTGAATGAACTGTCATATTTTCTGTATGCATGATAATTTCAATGTTGTTCACCGTTACCAGCACAAATACCTCAACAAGCATGCTGCACGGGGTTTTGTTATCTACTTATCTGTGATGGTGCATTTGTTTCATGCAATCAATCATTATTTTATAATGCCATTAATTGTCACATGGTAAAGTCCCCTTCTCAGAAGATGGTTTAGGATTCACGAGCAGTATATTTTTTTGCTATAGTTATTTTGTTTGATGAATGAATGTGGTTTCATGATCTCAATGATTGAACAGTAGAAGTTTTAGAAGGTTCCCCCCTCAGAAATTTAGTTTTTATTTCATCCCCTTGTATATTGTACTTCTGACATGCAATCTGAGCACCTTCTTTTTACTCCATCTGCATCTGTTGAGATCCACATGCCAACTGTTATCCACCTGGTTATTTCATCATAAAAGATCTATTAGTAGTTTTCAGTGTTATTGAACATGGTTGTCCCAAGTATCTGGAATCATCTACAGACACAATGTTACATGTCTTGTTACTTTGAACAGAAAAATATGTCCTTTTGTAGGCAAAGTAGTGCATGAATAATGTCGCTGCATAACTGTTATTCATCTTCCAGTGGGTTCATAGGAGCCTTGTTTTGGCCTATTGCTATTTTAGGGTTATGCATGTATTTCTCTGCATAAACTAGCATGCCACCTACGTCTTTGTTAATCATTGCCCCTTGCTTCAGGAACGGTTGAATCGGTCATTGATGGTCTGTCAAGACAAGTTTGAAGCAGCCAAGCTCCAGAAGTTGAAAACAGATGCAACTCAGGAACTGGAATCCTGTGTCAACAGATCTATCGATGACAGCATCAGGGTCCTCCCCCATGTGGTGGAGCAGATCAAGTCCACCCTCCAAATCAATTAGAGGCATTATTGCCTTTAGCATATGATCCAGATATAGTTGAGAATGTTTCATATTCAAATTTGCGGCCTAAGTCCACATTTTTCAGTGGAAAAATACTTAGCTAGAACCATGCAGAGCTCTTACCAGTATCGATAGAACATGATCACTGTATCGTATTGCCAACATCATCGACATTTTGAATTCTGCTGAGCTTACAGCTTAGGCATCGAAATAGTACAAGGCTGGATGAACTTGTTTCTGTGTACTTTTGTTGCAATTTTTTTATGTTGCTTCTGTTGCAATGCAATTTAACTTTTGCTGTAGAGTATAAACTGTGCGGGAAACATTTGGTGAGACAAATGGGAAATCATTCAAACGTGAGAATTTCACAAGATCTTTGCGTTTTGGGTACTGCTGTTTGCTATGAAATTGTTTTAAAATATCTGTAAAATTGTTGCAGGTTCCTGTGAACATGGCATAAATTTGTCTGCTCGCAGCTGTCAAGAGAAAAAGCAACTGTAAAAAAAAAAGAATTTTGCATTTCGATTCGAACATTTTCAATCTTTCACAAACGAAATCAGTTGTAAAAAAAAAAAGCAAATCAGTATTCAGAAGTCATTACAAAGCCCAACCCAGTGAAGCAGTCCAACTTGACCAGCCCAAATGTCGAAATGCCAGTACGGCCCCCTACCGCCGCCGCTGTCCTCGTCCACCGCTACACCCGCATCATCACCGCCGCCGCCGCCTCCTCGCCGGCCTCCCTCCGCGCCCTCCTCCCCATCCACGCCCGCGCCATCGTCCTCGGCGTATCCGCGAACCCGGCCTTCGCCACCAGCCTCATCGCCGGCGTGGCGCCCGCCTCCCTCGCCTACGCACGCAGGGTGTTCGACGCCGTGCCTGTACACGATGCCTACATGTGGAACACCCTCCTCCGCGTGCACGCCCACTCCCAGTCGTCGTCGCACGCCGTCGACGCCCTCGCCCTCTACAAGCGGATGCGCGCCGCCGGCGTCGCGCCGGACCATTACACCTACCCGATCGTGCTGCCGGCTTGCGCGGCTGCGCGCTGGGCGCGGCTCGGGCGGGCCGCGCACGGCGACGCGGTGCGGTTCGCGCTCGCTGGGGACGGGTTCGTGCGCTGCACTCTCATCGCGATGTACTTCCAGGAAGGGGAGGTGGCAGACGCTGAGCTAGTCTTTGCGGAGAGCCATGGATCATCTCGGACGGTGGTGTCGTGGACGGCCATGGTTGCTGGCTACGTGCAAAACTACTTCTATGGGGAGGCACTTGCGCTGTTTGGCACAATGGTTGCCGAGGGTGTACTTCCGAATGAGATCACTCTGATCAGTTTCCTGCCCTGCTTGCAGGGCCAAGAATGGCTGAATGCCGGGGAAATGGTTCACGGGTTCGTGGTCAAGTCGGGGTTTGATGCAAACATTCCATTGGCTAATGCCCTCGTCGCAATGTATGGGAAGTGCGGGAGCATTCCCATGGCAGAAGCTCTGTTTGAGGGAATGGCGGTACGCAGTCTGGTTTCTTGGAACACGATGGTTGCAATCTATGAGCAGCATGGTGATGTGGTTGAGGCAATCAAATTCTTCCGCAGGATGCTTACTGAGAAGGTGGGGTTTGATTGTGTGACTTTGGTCAGTGTTCTGTCTGCTTGTGCACGCTCAGGAGCCCTGGAGACTGGCAAATGGGTGCATGAGTTTGCCCGGAGTCATGGGCTTGACACAGATGCAAGGATTGGCAATGTTCTTGTCGACATGTATGCAAAGTGCGGCGAGATTGCTGATGCAAGGAGGGTCTTTGACTGTTTGCATGTGCGTGGTGTTGTGTCCTGGAGTGCCATGATAAGTGCATATGCCAACCATGGGGATTCTGAGGAGGCTCTCAAGGTCTTCTGCCTGATGAAAAGTGAAGGGGTGAGACCAAATTCTTTCACATTCACTGCAGTTCTAGTGGCGTGTGGCCACTCAGGCCTTGTTAACGAAGGACTGAAGCATTTCAACAGCATCCTTTCTGACTACCAAATGTCGCCTACACTGGAGCACTATGCCTGCATGGTTGACATGCTAGGGCGAGCTGGTAGACTTGTGGAAGCATATGAAATCATCAGGGGAATGTCGTTGCACCCAGACAAGTGCGTGTGGGGTGCATTCCTTGGGGGTTGTAAGCTTCACGGCAATCTGGAGCTAGCTGAATTCGTTGCCAAGGACCTCTTCCAGTCAGGCTCCAATGATGTCACATTCTATGTTTTGATGTCAAACATGTACTTCGAAGCCGGAATGTTGGAAGATGCAGAAAGGATAAGACGAGCCATGAAGGAGATGGAACTCAAGAAGACAGCTGGGCGTAGCACAGTAAACCAATAGGGAAAGAATAGCCATCATTTTCCATTATATGTACTAACATGCAGTTTTGATGGTCAAATTGTTTCATCTGTAATTATATATACTTACCACATGTGGTTCTTCCCTTCTCACTTACCATTTTTGTCCATGTCGGCTAGCATGCTTTCCAACCTTCATAAATCTGCTGATGTCCTCCAGAATTTTCAGAGGGCACGTGTTTGATGTAATTTTCATACCAGAGCAACAAAAACATTAGAAACAGAAACCTCAAGCCTCCAATGTATACTGTGACTCTGTGAGTAACCCCTGAGAAAATGCCTTTTTTCCTATGCCATATTCAGCCAAAATGACATTGTGATTTCTGAGTGGAACTTCAAAATGTATCCCAAATCTCCACTCGTTGCCTGTTCCTGAGGTGAGATTTTTGCCCCCAGCAGCCTCTCTCTTAATTCATTTACTGTTAGGACTCTTGTTCATAATTTTGGTTTTGTGGTGAGATGGGTTCGTAGATACTTCTGCTTGGGTTCAATTAATGGCTGTATAACTGTGCGCTACACACTTTCTTGTAGATTATTAGGCCTGTAATTTATTCATTCAAACTAGGTTTAGTCTTTTAAGTCTCCACTGCAGGGAAGGCACTAGTAGTTTGATGAATTGAAGCACCTTGATTTTTGGCAGTAGTTTCAGTGTCATCAAAACTTTTGTGCCTATGCTCTCTTCTGGGATGGTGTTGGACTGATGATGAGACCCAACATTGTTACCATTTTGATATACCGGTTATGCTTATAATCCTCTGCATTAGAAAACCTGAACTCCTGAAATCCTGATTATATGTTGGTGGTGGAAAATAGTTTTGTAAGCTGAATTTGGTCCATCTTAGCCAACTGAGTGCTAGTTTGGGTAAAACTTATTGAATGTTAAAACTTTTGAGTATCCAATATTCTAATCTCTGAAGCTTAGTGAATTTTACAACTCTTTAATTTCTACTCTCTGATCCGATTAGTATATCATCAAAGCAGAGGTGAGCAAATTGTTTTTTTAGAAATATAATGCTCATCACTAAAGACAATTAATAAAATTCAAGATCTCTAGTTATAAATTTTCTTATATATTTGTCTAAATTACATGGTTATAAATTTCGTATCAGCTAGCAGAGATTGAGGAATTGTTTGAGAAGGCCAAACAGGCTCTCCCCTTCTGCCACCCTGGGATAGTAAAGTATAAAGGTAGCCATGCCAGCACTAACAAGTTCTAGAGGACAGCCAATCAGTCCACTCTAGCAGGTCAAGGACGCTTCTAATTGTGCAGTATAGTTTTTATTTGATTAAATCATCAAAACTTCTGTCCTGTATCATTTTTTTTTTTTGTTATGCACTCACTAAAGCCTTAAATTTGCAGCAATATATCAAGATGCAGTTTCCTTGGCTCAGTACCAAAGGAAATTGGTAAGTTCTCTCAAATTAATGACAATGTGATACATATAATAATCACTATTCAACTAGCAGTAATATATTTGTCGTGGCCAGGTCGATTTCATGATTAATGTATATCTTTGATTTCATTGCTAGATGTTCTTATGACTTTCATTCTGTTGGATCTCTACACGAGAGGGAGGAGAAGAGAGGTATCTGCAAGAGGAAAAATGGGTGACCAAGAGGGGGCCTATATATCACAACAATCCTAAGAAGATAAGATTCCTCGTTATTTAAATATGTTCCTGCGTTTACACATGATATACATGTTTTCATGGAGATATTTTTTGGGTCAATTAGTCACAATTCAACAGAGAGGTATGCTTATCATGAAACAACAGCATCAGAAATACTACTATTATTCATCAATCAATTCTCATTTATCGAATACATATACTCCTAGCTAATATCAATATGATGACACTTCGATCGACTTTATTATCTAGCGGCCGGGTCTATCTTCCTTGGAAGTTGGAACTCCTTACTCCCATCCCTGCACTCCAATATCATCTATGGCAGCAATCAGTTTATGCCACACGGCCTGCAAGGAAAACAGCCGAAAGAGTGTTAGCACTTAATTAGCAGGAACAAACTATACATCACCTGCAGAAAATATTCCACTTGCACATAGAGAATTCAATTCCTACCATGGTGTCGGCGCATCTGACAGAAATGTTTAAGCTGCACTACCTTGTCTTCGCTGTACTCCTTCTCCTCTCTAGGTGTGAGCAGTTTGATAACACAGTGCATGTTCATTTGAGGGACATCTCTTGCGGCCTTGCAGCAGACGCCATGCAGTTCTCTAGGGAACGGGTGGGGCGGTCCATGACGGATGAACTCCTTGCACTGCTCCAGGATGGCCTCCTTGTGCTTCTCGGTACATGTACCCATGGCTAGATGGGGATACATTACTACTACTGCGCAGACGAGCAGTAGAGCTGCTACTTTCTCCAGCAACATCTTAGCAGGATCGATCTATCACTTGTAATCTGATCTGTGGTGACTACGGCACAATGAAAGTTCAATATTGTACATATATAGATATATATAGAGAGAGAGGAAGCAATGCAATGCACCCACAAAGTTCAATATTAATGGCTAATTAATAAGTTGCCAAAATCATTGAGTATGATATAGTGAAATATGGATACTACTATATTTGGGGCGGGTACGCTTCGTTTATAGAGAATAGACATATTATATGTGTGGGTCTCTGGTGTCTATTAATTCCGAGAAAATAGTATTATATAGTCACATTTAATTTCGTAGAATCCTCCTATGTTTTAGAGACTGTATGGATCAATAGGGCTAGTTATTAACTGGTTAAAAATTAGCACAAATAATTAGCTGTGGTTAGCCATCTAGTTGGATAATAACCAGTTGTAGGTCTCGCTCAAAACTTTGCCCATCTATTAGCCCCCTATTTGTATGAGCTAGAGCTAAAAAGTAGTTCATTTAATTAGCCCTGTGCATCTAAGGCCATGTTTGGTTCTTTAGTCTATGGACTAGAGACTAAAACATGGACTAAACTTTAATTTGCTACCCTATTTGGTTCCAGGGACTAGAAGGGACTACAGCTCAAACCCACTTTAGTCCCTCTAGTAGTCCCCTTGTTTAGCAAAGTATGAACTATTTGGGACTAAAATGGGCTCACTAGTCTCTAGTCCCATGTAACCAAACAGGGTCTAAAGGGTACTATGAAAAAGTAGTTCATTTAATTGGTTTTCATTAATAAATGGGATAGGTAGTGCTTGGAATTGGGCGTCTGGACGGTTCTCTTTCCGTCGAATGCCGCATCCACCGTTAACTCGTCACGGAACTAAACGAGTTGGCGCATAAGCCTACACGACTTGCTCATTCTCCACCGCAAGGGCTCGCTCGCTGCGCTGCTGCATCCCTATGTCGCCATGCCCACCCTCCTTCCTCCTTTCCCCGCTCGCTCCCTGCGCTGCTGCATCCACCCACATGCCTGCCCCCACCGCCGTGCTTTGCTCCCTGGTGATCCCACCAACCTCTGTTTCCTCCCATGGACGGCCTTCTGAAGTTCTGCACCTTACTCTTCGGCTCCATGTACTCGATTGCTGCTACCCTTTAGCTCTAAGTTTCACGCCTCGTGCTGCTCAGGGAGCCCCAGGTCTACAGCCTCCTCTTTAGCTCTGGGATTGATGTTGCTTGGCATATGATTTTTGGATGCTGCATTTGTTGTTTTTTCTACAATGCATTAGAAATTTTCTCATGTTTTCGTAACAGATTCAGATGTTTCAACAGATGATCTCTCATGTTGTTGTAACAAAACTAACATGTTGCGTTACATGAATATTTGGTATTGCAGTGTTTGATTAGAGATGTCTCATCATCTTTATTTTGATGTTGCAATAACTAGCTGTTGGATGCTGCACTTTATTGATTTTTCCATGTTGCAGCAAGCAGTGAGATGTTTCGATAGATGATTCCTCATGTTGCAGGAACAAAACTGAGATGTTTCACTACGTTGTGTTTGATGTTGCAGTAACTGATGATTTGTCCTATTTATGATTAAGGATGTTTCACCTCCTTTATTTCGATGTTGCAGTAACCAAATTTTGTATGTTGCACTTCATTATTTTCCTATGTTGCAGCAACAAACTGAGATACTTCAAATAGATGACTTATCATGTTGCAGCAACAAAACTGAGATGTTCCACTATAATGTTTGATGTTGTAGTGATAAATGATTTCTCCTATGATTTGAGATGTTTCGTCTCTTTTTGTGTTAAAGTAGTTGATTATTTGATGTTGCATGTCATTGATTTAAGATTTGCAAAAGATTTCTATAGATTTTTATCTTGGGAAGCTGTTGTTGCATCTTTGACCTGTGTTGCTTCTTTGAGCGACGTAGTTGACCAACAGCGATGTGCTCGCGGAGGTGGGTGGAAGACTGAAAGGAGCAGAGGCGATTGTACAGGCGTGCAGGACGCGGGATAAAAATAAAAGAATTGCCCACAATGAAAACAATTAATAATTAATTTTGTTGGATGATGGATGGTCAGCGTCCAATGTATCCACTATGGCTGGACATCTGAGCGGTAGCATTACTGTAAAAATAGTGGGATGTATGCTCTCATCTAATATATGAGGTAATAATCTTGCTGAGAGTTTCCATGAAGCACACAAGAGGCCCCCTGCATAGAGCAGTGGCAGCGGATAGTCCATCCTTCATATCGATGTCTATATGTGTGTTATTACGGTACAAATACAAATCTTAATATTTCTCAAATACAAATATGAAATGGGCATTCAAATTTGAATCTGTCTGAATATTTTTTACATTAGTGTGTATCCTACAACTAACTTTAATGACAAACGGGGAAGCAAACAAACATTATTTGAAGCTATCAAGAATGGAAATTCCAAATAGGGAACCTTATTCTTTTTAGTGGATGATCATCTCCCTAAAGGTAGGGAAACACTTTTGCTATGATACAATGGCTATATCAGATCTGGGGGCATTGGGTGGGTGATGAAAGGCTCAGATTAATCCCTACAGTCTATATGTTGTACATTTCCAAACAAATTAAAGTAATAGATAAAAGTAATAGGTATGAGTAATTAGGTCATAAGAATTAATAATGAGTGAATAAAATTTAATATATAACATTATCTTTTTAATATAAGCAAGGTTATATTTGAACAAAAGTGTTTTACATATTTGGATACAAATACATACTAATACCTATTTGGACAAAAGTGAATACAAACGTCTCTCGGGAAGACCTATCGGGAAGGAGCATGTTGGGGTTACCCAAGGGTCAACAAGGTCACCTAGAACGTCTACAAATCTCGTTGAGAGATGCAGAACTACAACAATGGAGGTTGAAAATATTATTAGGGTTTGGGAAGTGCAAGAAGTAAGATGGACTGATTTTTTTATCCATTGGATACTTCAGTCAGTTGGATCCCTCATATAGTGGCAGTCTTATCCACAAGAAACCGAGTTTATAACAAAATCCACTTGATTTCCTAAAATCTGCATAGAACCCGTAAAATTCGGTTAAGATGACCCTATAAGAGTATCTCCAAGAGTCTTTCTAAAACTCAGTCTCTAAATCATCATTTAAAGAGCCATTTGTATAAAAATTGATTCTATATCTTTTCACACTCCAACAGTTTTGTTATATCTTGTGTGCACTCTAGAGAGTCATTATCGTTTTCTTCCTTGTCTAGAGAGAAATCAAGAATAGAAGATGGCTATATTTGGATAACCAAATAAAGAAGCTGATGGAAGGTTTTTTTTCATCAATATCTCCATTTCTAACAATTAGGAAGAATATAAAGAGTATTTTGGGGTTGCTCTAAGTCAGCTAAATTGATTTTGAGTGGGGTTTGGGCAACAACCTACCTGTGAAAGTTGGTCCAAATTCTCTAAATCCAATTCCAATACGAGTAAATGTTCTTGAAACTTCTCACAATGTTTATTAGAATCGGTTTTGTAACTTTGAGGATAGAAATTGTCGAATTTTTTGGCACCATTCAATCCAAATTCATTTGGTTTCACCTTGAACACACGACATCTCCACCAAGAGAATACATTCAGCTCTTGTGATTAGCTTCTTAGGTAAAGTATCAGTGCTCAACTGCTCATATCGCATTGTGGCATCTTTCTTGCATGCAATTCGGTTCATACAAAACCTTTATTTCAAATCATAAGTAAAGGTAGACATATCTGGCCATGATGAGCTGTTGAAGCTTCCTAGCTTGGTGTGTGTCGCCTTTAATATTTCTGGTGCGTTAGGCACTTAGGGTAAGGGTAGGACGGGTGCTGTCCCTTACTGTAGTGAAGGTCTCAAATCTTGTTGTTATTGTGTGGCAGCTTCCCTGGATTCTGAAGATGCTACGCGGCAGACATTCAGGATATGAATTGTACAGCAGTAAAAAGAAACTAAACATGGTTAGATAAAGCTCTAAGCACGTAAGAATTCCTTGACTCATAACGAACTCAGAAAGACAGTCAAGTCATCAGATTATCTCTGAATCGAAGTGAAGTCACACATATATATCAAGATCGCTCGCTCAAACATGTTAATAGCAGTTACTTTCCCCCAAGAATATTTCCTTTTATTATGGTATTTGGAGGAAAAAATACAAGCGTTGTGCCCCCAGTCAATGCCTTGTGTCCTCCATCTAGCCTCCACGTGTGAACAAGTGCTCATAATGCGCCAATGCCTGTGCCCTCCATCTAGCCTCCACATATGAACAAGTCTCATAATGCGCTTAGCTGTGCCCTCCATCTACCCTCCACGTATGAACAAGTGCTCATAATGCGTTTTAGCTGTGGGTGAAGGTGAACAAGCCTCCACACTATTCATCTTGCCAGAATACAGAAGGCACCATGTAGTCACCACCATCACTTTTTTTTAAATAAAATCCAACAAACATGCTATATACTCAATTCTACACAGTCCAAACATGCAGATTTCTCCCTGACCGCTGATCTTTTTCTCAAATCGACAATCATCTAGGTTTCTAAGGGGTACAGGTCCCAGAATTGTTCAAAAGTCATGAGTGTATCTTTATTTGTTCAATGTCTACAGAAATTCTGCGACGATGACGTCCATTTGCAGCACATTTGACGAAAGAAACAGAAGGGTAATTCCAACTCACTCTAAATTAACTGTGCTGTAATCTTATTCGGCCTGATGATCAGTGCATGATCGAACAAATTAATGCCAAAGAAAACTCACTGCGGCTAGTATTAGCACTTATATACTGCCGCCATAGCTCTTTATTTGTTGAATCTACGTATAATATAACCCAACAACTGACGCGAGATCAGCAGTAACAGTGGCACTTGTGGTGGCCACTGCGGAGCTTGCACTCGCCGCCACGGCAAGAGGTCTGGCACCACGAGTTGCAGTCACCATTCTGATCCGAAGAGCACCCGTTTATCTGGTTCTGCGAGCCCCATGAATGATAGTCGTTGCAGCACATAGGATTGGACGAGGCTGCGGCAACACACATATATCACATGGACAAGAAACAAAGCATGCATTCGTTAGCTATTAGTTCTAAACAAAACAGACAAACGATGGCATTATAGGGCTGCAGCTGCTAAGAGAATAAGATGTGTCATCGTCATAGTCAAATTACCTGCCGAGGCAACAAGAAAGGCGAGCACGATGAGCACAACTGCTGCACCTGTACGCTCCATGATCCTCTTCCTCTGTATAAGAATTTCTTTACGAGCGAGCAGAAAATATTTCGATCTCGATCGATGAGTTCGTCTTTGGTGCCTACGGCTATTTATACCCGGAGACTGCATGCCTTCCAAATTGTTCCAAATTATGCAAATTATTTTTGTTATTTACTACATTATATGGAAGTTAAATCGTTCCAAATTGTTCCAAGAATGAATGCCTTCCAAACCAACATTCACTACTGAATTCAGGTTCTTTGCCGAGTGCCTGAGGCACTCGGCAAAGGCCAAATTGCACTCGACAAAGCCTTTGCCGAGTGCGGCACTCGGCAAAGACCACACGGCAAAAATCTGATCGGCAAAGCCCTCTTTGCCGAGTGTCTTTTATCGGGCACTCGGCAAAGGTTTTGCTGAGTGCCCTGGGGACACTCGGCAAAGAAAAGCGACCGTCACGGCGGCGGTTCCGTTGACGGTCACTTTGCCGAGTGCCAACCCTGCAGGCACTCGGCAAAGATTTTTTTAATTTTTTTTAAAAATTTCTTTGCCGAGTGCCAACCCGTGAGGCACTCGGCAAAGATTTTTTATTTTTTTAAAAATTTCTTTGCCGAGTGCCAACGCGTAAGGCACTCGGCAAAGAGCTTTAATTTTTTTTAAAAAATTTCTTTGCCGAGTGCCAACCATATAGGCACTCGGCAAAGTGTTTTTATTTTTTTAAAAAAAATTCTTTGCCGAGTGCTAGCCATCGGGCACTCGGCAAACGTTTTTCATTTTTTTTAAAAAAATTTCTTTGCCGAGTGTCAACCCGGAAGGCATTCGGCAAAGATTTTTTATTTTTTTTAAAAAAATTTCTTTGCCGAGTGCCCCATGGGTGGCACTCGGCAAAGTTTTGATTTTTTTTTAAAAAAAATTCTTTGCAAAATGAAGTGCATTATTGGTCTGTATAGAGATTGTAGGCACAAATTAAAAAGAAGAGATCCGAACAAAATGAAGTGCAAAATAATGTTAGGTTTTGCCTGATCTAGAAGCTCTCGCCTTGTATTACAAACAATTTCGCCAGCAAGGAAACATGATAGATTGCAAATAAACTTCTATCTAGAGACTACTTGTAGATAATTTAAAAGGACTAACGTAATCCTAGAGTCGGACTGAAGTAATTCTTTTTGAGGCAACATGCAGAAAATGGCTTCATTTCAGACAGGTTTAAGTTGCATCATTGTCAGACATCAATATATACATGCTATCATTTGTCGAACAGCAACAGTTTTGGTCATAGGATTAACATGGTAAGATAACAAGTTTAGCATATATAGATGCTATCATTTGGCAAGAAACTACGACTGTTGGTGACTATGACTGGAAGCAGGTAGAGGTTAAAATGGTACATGAGACTCCAACACGTATATCATTTGGCAAAAAACTATGACAAAAGATCCAATGGTCATTTAACTGAAAATCATCAAATATGAGAATGTCAGATACAAAAAAGTTGAGCATCTCAAGCATATGTCCCTGCCTTATATCACTCAAACAGTGAGGAAATTTCGGATCGTGCAAGTTGACAACATGGTAGCTTTCAAATCAAATAGTACATGTAGAAATCATTGGCCGTGTCACATGGAGGTGATGCAACGCATAGGATGACTACTTTCAGGTTTCAACATGCACACATAACCAGGGGCGGATTCAGAACGGGCTGCGACCGGGCTAAGCTGCTGATTCACGTTCAAAACAGTCTGATCTTGCTTCCTAGGCCTTCTTTTGTCTAATTAAGATCATAGTTTTTAGGCTAAATACCACATATGTTAAAGGGGCTACATGGACTCGTCCGGGCTGCAGCCGGGCAGCCCGGCCCTGGATCCGCCCCCTGCACATAACATAGAACAAATGAAAACAACCAACTGCGACATAATTGACTTTGTGATGTTACGTGCAATAAAACTCCACTGGACCTACAACTATTACATGCTGCAACCCTGTCCTTGAGATGTTCAAATCTAAGAAAGAGATTTGAATCACAATCTCACAACTTCACGGGAATAATGAGCCATTAACTCTAATTTCACAAAATCTAAGAGAAGTGGCGGCCTTGCTAGCTTCAAAGCAACGTACATGTGTGTGTGGACTTGAATTACAAAAAAGCAAGCAGACCAGTAACACAATACAACTCTCATCAGAAAAAGGGAATAGGAACTCACTGCATTTTTTCCTTGCTGAGTTTAGAAAATCAATAAGCAAAGGATCCCCACTCAGAAGTTTTGGAACTAACTCCACAAATATCCTGTAATCAGTGTAGTAAAATTTTATTAAACAGAATGTCATGTATTATTTGTTTAGACAGAACACAAAAGAATAAAGAAACTCCCATAACCTTGAGCTCCCAGCAGCATTCGATATTATGTCATAGATAATTGATGGATGAATCCCAGCTCGAACACCAAGATACATTGCTTCAATAGACGCAACAAAATGAATGCCCTCCAGCAAATCATTCACCACCCTAAGTTTGCTGCAGACATAAAAAACATATATATTTTAAACTGACGTATGATAGTTGCAGTAATTGGTATGTATACTTTTTTACTGTTGATGTTCCAACTTCCATAGCATGGCTATAGGGTAGTATTGGACTGTTTGTCCTTCTATAATGATATGATATGTAATTATCCTTACGTATTCTTGAAATAGAACACTATTTACTATTGTCAGAAAGGGTGAGCAAACCTGCTAGTGCAAAATTCACCTTCAGCAAAGTAAACGGTATTGTATAGGCCTGAAAATATCACCAGGTAAATTAGAATTTCAACATTATTGCACCTTAGCACATCATAAGATATAAAAGAAGATGGAAATATTGGCAAAGAAATTTACACATCTTTTGACTTACTATGGAAAAACTTTCTAGCTCTTTCTGATACGTCCTGTCTCCCAGATGCAACAATCTGGCATATACAAGGTAAGTAGTGATAAGAGAAAGGGAAAATGAAGATGCATGGTACTCAGATTCCCAATATGTTGTACTGCTTACAATAATCTGTTGCTTTAGTTCATCAGATAAACCACTGAAAATGTATCCATCCAGAAGGAAGACATCCTTCTCATCTGTATGGTAAATTAAGTTAGCTAAGTACCACCAAGCTAAGGTCCTCCATATGACCATGTGGATCTCAATGGGTATATAAGTGGTAGCATTCAAATTATCAAATATACTCACTCGAAAATGAAGTCACATTTAAACTCAAACAATTAAACATGAAAATTTGATGGTTTAAATGTGCTGATTTGCTATGTCTATAACAAAAAAAAATGCACATAGAGCTTTGGCACAATAGCCATTCCAGGCTGGGAAGCGAATGGCATGGCATGCAAAGTATTTTACCTGTAAGCTTCTGCTCCAGCTTCTCCAACTGGCTAAGCAGCAATGTCGAACGAATCAATACAATAGAACCCGCGCGTAATCCTAAAATGCTCAAATAAACCTTATATATAAGTTATACAGTACCTTGTAGAGTAGATAGTTAAGGTGGCCAGAAGCAGTCAACGGAATAACTCAAGCACACATACCTTTCGCGATACCCTCAACTCCGAAGAACAACTCGTCAACGCCACCAGCATCGCTTAGCACGACGACCAGCGCAGCATCTGCAGTTAACGAAAGACGCGATCAGCTTAGCCCGATGACCCGATCACCTCGGCATTCCAACAAATGCATCGCAGCCACGCAGGAAGCATAGCAGCGTACTCCACAGTTGCACACCCACCAACCCAAATAGGCACGCATCCCGCACAACCGATCGAATCGAGCCAGTACTGGAGCCCAAGAGCGCAGGCTCACCTCGCGCGGCTTCCACTGGGCTCGCGTACCGGAGGAGGTCATTCAACTCCGCGAGCCGCCGCAGATGGCCTCGGGGACGAACGAGCGGACGCGGGCGCCGGAGCGGAGGAAGGAGGCGGCGAGCTCGACGCTGAGCTCGTCCGCGCCGATGAAGGCCACGGGGGCCGCGGTCGACGACATCGCACCGTCTCCCGCCGGCGACGACTCGAAGCAGAACCGAGACCGAGAGCAGAGCAGAGCAAAGCGGATCGAGTGAGCAAGCGAAGTTGGCCGGCGGTGTTAAATTCCCTCATTTGCCGAGTGCTCCGATCCGGCACTCGACAAAGGTTTTTTTAATTTTTTTAACCGTCTCTTTGTCGAGTGCGACTGTGATTCAAGATTTCGGCAAAGAAGATTTTTTTTAAAAATCTTCTTTGCTGAAAGTGTTCTAGATCGGCACTCGGCAAAGTTTATTTTTTAAAAAAATATTTTGCCGAGTGCTCGACACGGCATTCGACACAGAGAGGATTTTTTTTAAATTCAAAACCCTCTTGCCGAGTGCCTTATTCTTGACACTCGGCAAAGACCCTTTGTCGAGTGCCATGACCGGCTTTTCGGCAGTTTTCCCTTTTTTTGTTTTTGGCCTCAAATTTTTTATGCAGCCCTTTTAAAGCACCGGGAACTCCTAGTTAGAATTTGGGTATTTTTGTGGCTTTTTGATATATTTAGTTTACTTTATTTACATTTACTTGAATTTTTGAAAAATATAATTTTGAACTGACAACGCGTAATACGAATAATCAATTTAATGATTCAAAATTTGGTCATATTACTCACATATGATATCACGATATCTCAAAAGTTTCATGATTTTTGACTTCGCTTCTTTTTATAGAATTTAAAACACTTCGCACGCAAGTTTTTTAAATTGTTTCGTGAACAAGATGTCCGAAATTTCGGTCCGCTCTCGGATAATGGCCTCACACTACACTCAAGAATATGACCATCAATTTTGAATCATTAAATTGCATTATTCGTATAATGCGATGCAGTTCAAAATTATATTTTTCAAAAAATTCAAGTAAACGAAATAAAGTAACTAAATATATCAAAAGCCACAAAAAAATACCCAAATTTAACTAGGAGTTCCCGGTGCTTTAAAAGGGTCGCACAAAAAATTTGGAGGCCAAAAACAAAAAAACAAAAAACTTTGCCGAAAAGTTTAAGTCATGGCACTCGGACAAAGGGTCTTTGCCGAAAGTGTCAAGAATAAGGCACTCTAAGAAAGAGGGTTTTGAATTTTTTAAAAAATTCCTCTTGCTTAGAAAGTGCCTCATAGGCAGGCACTTTCGGCAAAGACATTTTTTTTAAAAAAATAAATATTTGCCGAAAGTGCCGTGTCGTAGTGAAAGGTCCTAATATGGCTAGCTAGAGGGGGGTGAATAGCCTATTTAAAATCTACAAATCAACTAGAGCAATTTGATTAGTATGACAAATAGCGTAATGCAAACTTGCTCTAGCTCTACAAGGGTTGCAAGCCACCTATCCAACAATTCTAGTTGCAATGAATACTTAGGCACACAAACTAGCTATGTAATTACTCACTAAGAGCTCTCAACCTTGCTACTCTAAAGAGCTCAACTAGATGAATGTAAATAATAAAGCAAGCTCTCAATTCTAATTACACTAAAGAGCTTGTATCAACTAGTTTGCAAGAATGTAAATGAGCGAGTAGAGTGATTATACCAACGTGTGGGGATGAACCAATCACAAGATGAATATATAGCCAATCACCGGGAGAATGACAAAGAAGAGAGACAATCGATTTTCTCCCGAGGTTCACGTGCTTGCCAACACGCTTACGCCCCCGTTGTGTCGACCAACACTTGGTGGTTGGCGGCTAAGAGGTGTTTCACAAACCTCGTCCACACGATAGGACACCGCAAGAACCGACCCACACGTGAGGTAACTCAATGACACGAGCAATTTACTAGAGTTACCTTTCGAGCTCCGCCGGGAAGGTACAACTCCCCTCACAATCACCGAAGGCGCCACGAACAATCACCAACTCGTGCCGATCCTTCACCATTGCTCCAACCGTCTAGGTGGTGGCAACCACCAAGAGAAACAAGCGAAATCATAGCGCAAGAACACGAATACCAAGTGCCACTAGATGCAATCACTCAAGCAATGCACTTGGATTCTCTCCCAATCTCACAATGATGATGGATCAATGATGGAGATGAGTGGGAGGGCTTTGGCTAAGCTCACAAGGTTGCTATGTCAATGAAAATGTGCAAGAGTTGTCCATTGAGCCGGCCATGGGGCTATAAATAGAGCCCCATCAAATAGAGCCGTTATACCCCTTCTTTGGGCAAACGCTGCTCGACCGGACGCCCGGGTCAGACCGACCGGACGCCGGCTCTCGCCGTCGGCCGCTGATGTCACCACGTGTCCAGACTCAACGGTCATCAGCCTCGACCGGACGCTGCTCCTTTGAACTGACCGGACGCTGAAGCCCCAGCGTCCGGTCGTTTCCAGTAAGCTCCCCGAGGCGTATTTCTTCGACCGGACGCGTCCGGTCCACCTTGACCGGACGCAGACCAGCGTCCGGTGCTCAACCCTTCCCTGTCAGCTTGAAGTCAGTATGCTGACGTGACGCAGCGATCGGCGTCCGGTGCTTACGGATTCAGCGTCCGGTCCACAGGACCGACGCCAAAGATCATTTCGACCAACTCCATTTCAACTCTAACTTCTTCACCCTTGCTCAAATGTGCCAACCACTAAGAATTTTGCATCGGCGCAATAGAAAATAGACATTTCATTTTTCCAAAGCGCGAATCCCGCCTCACAAGCTCTAAGGGAGGGAGAGAGGGACCCAAACCCATCTCAACCCCGCAAACACCTTGTGCACATGTGTTAGCATATTTTCACAAATATTTTCAAGGGTGTTAGCACTCCACTAGATCCTAAATGCATATGCAATGAGTTAGAGCATCTAGTGGCACTTTGATAACCGCATTTCGATACGAGTTACACTCCTCTTAATAGTACGGCTATCTATCCTAAATGTGATCACACTCACTAAGTGTCTTGATCACTAAAACAAAATGGCTCCTATATTTTATACCTTTGCCTTGAGCCTTTTGTTTTTCTCTTTCTTCTTTTCCAAGTTCAAGCATTTGATCATCACCATGCTATCACCATTGTCATGATCTTCGTCATTGCTTCAACACTTGGAGTAGTGCTACCTATCTCATAAACATCTTGATAGACTAGGTTAGCACTTAGGGTTTCATCAATTAACCAAAACCAAACTAGAGCTTTCACAGGGGCACTCGGCAAAGTATTTTTTTTAAAAAAAACTTTGCCGAGTGCCAGATCTGGGACACTCGGCAAAGAAATTCCAAAAAAAAATTAAATCTTTGCCGAGTGCCAGATCTGAGACACTCGGCAAAGAAAATTTTTTAAAAAAAATAAATCTTTGCCGAGTGCCTAACAGTAGGCACTCGGCAAAGAAGGACGTGGCCGAACACCGTTATGCGTGACAGCCTATGCCGAGTGCCGAGCTTTTGCCGAGAGTTTGGCACTCGGCAAAGAAGTCCTTTGCCGAGTGCTCTTCTCTGCCGAGTGCCCGGCACTCGGCGAAGAACTCTTTGCCGAGTGCAATTCTTTGCCGAGTGCGGCACTCGGCAAAGAAGGTCTTTGCCGAGTGTCCGATTTTTGACACTCGGTAAAGAATTTTGCACTCGGCAAAGTCTCTGTTTTCAGTAGTGATTGAGGACGTATGTAGAGGAGGCCGGTTTCCAAAGTTGACTTGGAGGCTGGATGCATGCATATAGGTAAGGCAACATGCATGCGATTCAGAACCATACATTTCGTATAGGTAAGTACGTTGCTAAAATTAATACAATACAGTTTTTTATGTATTTGTGAGACTATTATTTTGTTGAAAACTAAGAGCTTCTCCAATAATTTTTAAAATCCAATCTCAATCTTGATTTTTTTTGGCATGAATGAAAGTTAAGAAGCTGTCTCCAACAATTCCTTATCCCAACTTTTAATTTTTCTAAACTTGGGAAAATATGTAACAATCACCCGAGCAAAAGTTCTCATGAACGAACGGGAAACATAAAACAAGAGGGCTGAAACGAAATTTGATCTGCGTTTTATGGGTGCTTTTGCAACAAGTTTCTTGCTATATCTGCATTTCTTCTCGGATAAAATTTCTTCACATATGAAGCTTTTGGCATTTTTCAAGTACTTTGGCCAGCCTTGCAACATCCGATCCGTTTTAGATACTGCAGAAGGCACCAACTGAGCATGGATAGCGGCTACCGCTAGCTATGACCATGTGACTGCTCAAAAGCATTGCATCGTCATAGGTCACGCGTTTACAGAGACGAGTCAGAGTCAATTTACAGAGACGAGTTTTCACAAGCAGTCAGAGTCAACTTACAGAGACGAGTTGAGACCTGTTCAGGGAAAAAAAATTCGAAGTATCGCTAACAATCGTTTTTGTCAGCATCTAATCAGGTCACCTGGAGTAACACTGATCAAAGATCACACGTCAAGCTAGATCATCAGTCAATGCTTGGATTGTTAGGACTGTTATGTGCACCTGCTACGTACCCTTCAGGTGTCTTATCGTCAACTCAAGATTGGACGGGGCTCAATCTCTTATATATAGTATATACTTGTGATTGTGTGCTCGGAATAGATAATAGCGACACAAAGCTGTGATAACCACTTGATCCGCCATAGGTCAGCACACAATGCAAGCAGGTCATTAGATTAGCACTGATCGACATCACACGTCAAAGATCGTTCAATCAAAGTGGTCCAGGTTATTAGCTCCGACATCGCATCAACCATGATCTAATTTAGCCGGATCTCCAAGGCATACAAACTTTGTTTCAACTTTCATCTCCAAGGCATGTTACCAACGAAACAAAAGTGTGCATGAACGTACGAGCTAAGACAAGAGAGCAGGAACAAAACCTGTTGTGCCTTTTATTCGTTGCTACTTTTCACCTTTGTTCGGCGTGCGCCATGCATCTTGCGGGAACGTTTCCTCACCTTTGCTTTGATCCATGAATGAATGTACATGGACCATTCCTGCTTGCTCCATGTCTGCACAATGGCATGGCTCCTCCTATCAGAGCTGAGCTTGCCCATATCCCACCATAAAACTAACTTTGCTCTATCATTGTGTTCCTAATTCCTATAAAGTTGGAAAAAAATTCAAAAATATATGCTCCAAGATTACGAGTAGTATATATATATATAGGTAAACTAACCAATGGCTTTGCATTGCTAAACAGGCCTTAACGTGCGGTGTAACACAACACACATTGCTACATTTCTCATCCCCTTCTAGCACATTGGCGAAACACTAATGCAAACGGCCGGCATTTGTCCACAGAACGCTAGCAACGGTTTGGTGCCAACTTTCCGATACCTACGCGCCTCGGTAGCCTTTATATATATCAGCAGCCAAGCCCAAGACCCAGGTGAAGCTGCACGTACAAGACTTGCATTGTGCAACTAACAAAGAGCACACGCTCAAGAGACAGGCGAGATGCGAAGGCTAGAGGCGGTCCTTGCTGCATGGCCTTGCGCCATTGCCACGGTGGTGCTGCTAGCTCTCGCGACGGGAGTGGCTGCGGCCAACGAAGCGAAGCATGACGTGGACGGCGGCGGCGGCGTCTCGAGGATCGGCACCACCGCAGCACCATCGTCGACCATCATCAACGTCACCGCGATCTGCCTGACGACGCCGTACCCGAGCGCGTGCGAGACGGCGCTCTCGTCGTCGCCGGCGCCGCCGGGCGGCTCATCATCATCCAGCAGCAGGGCCGACGACCCGTTCGCAGCGTCCGTGCAGTACGCGATGGCCCGGGCCGCGTCGGCGCGCGCGGTGGCGCGGAACCTCTCGGCCACGCGTCGTCCCCGCGGCGCGCCGCCGGGCGTGCAGGACTGCGCCGAGCTGCTCGACATCAGCCTGGACCAGCTGGGCGACGCGCTCGCCGCGGGGGGCGCGGCGGGCGACGTGGACGGGGTCACCACGTGGCTCAGCGCCGCGCTGACGAACCAGGCCACTTGCGCCGACAGCCTCGTGGCCGACCCGGCCTCCGCGGGGCGCGAGGCCGTGCGCGCGCGCGTCTCCGCGCTCACCCAGTTCATCGCCACCGCGCTGGCTCTGCACGTCAACAAGTTAAAGGCTCACGATAGCAGCGGCGGCGGCTCACCGTCCGGCTCGCCACCCACGCCGCCGACGCCAGCGGCGGCGGCGTTCCCGTCCTGGGTGACCCAGCAGGACCGGAACCTCCTGGAGTCGTCGTCCCCGGCGGCAGCGAGTGGCGCCATCGTGGCTGACGCAGTGGTCGCGCTGGACGACAGCGGGACGCACCGGAGCATCAACGAGGCGATCGCGGCCGTGACCGCGGCGAACGGCAGCGGCGGCGGAGGAAGGAAGGTAATACACGTGAAGGCCGGGCGGTACGAGGAGAGCGTGACCATCTCGAGCAAGCAGAAGAACGTGATGCTGATGGGCGAGGGCAAGGGGAAGAGCGTCATCGTCGGCCACAAGAGCGCCGGCGAGGGCTACACCACCTACGCCTCCGCCACCGTCGGTACGTGCTCTACGCGTCTGCATTATTCATCTTCTCTTGCACAAAAGCTACACGTACGCCTAGTGGTTGCATTTTGGAACCTTTTCACGTGTGGAATGAAGTGATTTGTTGGCCTAGGGAGGAGAGTGAATTTAATCTTCATTCTGCACTCTGCAATGTAAAAAAAGCTTAATAAGCTCCTAAAATGGTAGGGTTTACAGCTATTCTTTGCACTACAGGCCTACAGCTAGCTATAGATGCAAAGTGGCAAAGCAAAGCGAAAGATGCGTTTGGTTCGATTTGATCGTTTGTTGCCTACACATTTCCATGCTCTCTTCTGTTGCCATCTCATCTATATACACCTGTGTAGCACACCAAGACCTGTACGATCGAAGCATCAATGCATGGTTCATGTGGTTGCACCATGCATTGCATGGGCACCGTCAAATGCAGCGTCGACAGCGACGTTTCACTTGCCATGTCGCCCACTCGTCTTCACCCCTTTTTCTCCTTTGTGTTGTGCTTGACAGTGCACTCCCATTGTTGTCTTCTACACATTCTACTAGTAGTAACACTAACACCTTTCATGATCTCATCTCTCTGCGTGTATACGTGTGGTACAGCTGCGATGGGGTCGGGCTTCATCGCCAAGGGCCTGACGATCGTGAACAGCGCGGGGCCAGGGAAGGGCCAGGCGGTGGCGCTGCGCGTCGGCGGCGACCTCTCGGTGGTGTACCAGTGCGGCATCCAGGCGTACCAGGACACGCTCTACGTCCACTCGGGCCGCCAGTTCTACGCGGCCTCCGACATCGCCGGCACGGTGGACTTCGTCTTCGGCAACGCGGCCGTGGTGCTGCAGAGCTGCGACATCCAGGCGCGGAGGCCGAGCCCCGGGCAGGAGGACACAGTGACGGCGCAGGGCCGGACGGACCCGAACCAGAACACCGGCATCTCCATCCACCGGTGCAGGGTCACCGGCGCGCCGGACCTCGGCGGCACGCCGGTCTACCTGGGCCGGCCGTGGCAGAGGTACTCGCGGACCGTCGTGATGGAGACCTTCCTCGACCGGTCGGTCGCGCCGGCCGGGTGGCTCGAGTGGTCGGGGCAGTTCGCTCTCAGCACGCTGTACTACGGGGAGTACGGGAACACCGGGCCTGGTGCCGGGACCAGCCGGCGTGTGACGTGGCCCGGAGTGCACACGTCACTGTCCAGGTCGGATGCCGCGAGGTTTACCGTGGCGGAGTTCATCCTGGGAGACGCGTGGTTGGGTGGCACTGGAGTCAGCTATATTTCAGGACTGTGAGGTTGTCTGTTCGTCCCTATATGTATTCGGTGTCTGGGGACCGATTAACTTAGGTCGGATGAACCAATTTTATAATGAACAAATAAAAGATGAAAATGCCACCTAGCATGGGCCATAGTTCATTTTGGTGGTTGGATTATTAGAACATGATTAAATGGATTAATATCGATTGCTAGTATAAAATGTACAATTCATTCAGATGCAAAGATGGATCGGACTTAGACAACATGAAAATCAAGTAATCAACAGCTTAAGGAAGACAAAGGAGCACTGTTGGAGATCATAGTCCAGTGCATCAAGTAGAAGAAGCCCGGATGGGAAGACATGAAGAAACAGAGTATGTAAGGAAAATGGATCATTGGTCCATTTACTTTGGATTTTGGTGTGTGATGATCAACAAGATCAAATTGGACTAATGTGTTTGTGAGTGTTAGTTTTATAGTCCAATAGGTTGCAAACGTGACTTGGACGAAGGCGACGTGATAATCCGATGATTAATACCTCAAGCAAGACCCTAGAAGTACAATAGAAGAACCAAGAAACCAAACAAAGTCTAAACACGAAGATAGAAACCAAGCCGGACGCAAGATTGCGAAGAAACGAACCCGGCAGAGGTAACCGGACGCGGCCCTTATGAGGACCGGACGCGTTCGATCAGTTGCTCGGCAACGGCAGGCGTCAGTAGCAACGACCGGACGCTGAGCGAGGCAGTGACCGGACGCACGGACTTCAATGTTCATCGCCGCGACAATAACTCAGTAAGGACCGGACGCAGCAGCTGTGGACGACCGAACGCGCCAGGCAGTGGTGTCTGATCGAGTCTCGAGAGGTTCCAGAGCGGCGAAACGTCGACCGGACGCGTCAGATGGTAACCGACCGGACTTGACAGAGAGTCCGATCAACAGTGAGTGTCAACGGTCAGCTTCAACGGTTGGGACGACCGGATGCGTTCGATCAAAACGACCTGCGCGTCAGGTCAATGGCATAAAGCTGAGTTTTGTCCCCAACAACTACTTTCTCCGTGGGACTTATAAATAGACCACCCAACCGATCAATTGAGGTGAGGAGACTTGAGAAAACATACCAAGGGTATTGATACACCATTTTAGTGATCTTCACTTGCATAGTGCTTAGTGATTCATTAGGTGACTAGCGTAGGTGCTTTGCGAAGTGCTTAGGTTGATTAGACCACCGCTTATGCGCTTGGTCTAGGTTTAGGCCTAGTGTTTAGTGAGGTTTGCACACCTCTTATCACTCAGTGCTTGCGCGCACCATTGTTGTACATTGGAGGGGCTTGTAGTCTTGCTAGATCACACCAACCACGTTTGTGGTGTGGCCACCACAGTGTACCGAAGGGAACAAGGCCTGCGGCGGTTCGACCGGAAGCTTGATAATAAAGACGGCGGGGAGCGGTCCGAGAGAGGCTTGCTGGAAGGCCTGGGGCTATCCACGGTGTTATCTGACCGGGAGCTTGGCCCTTGGGAGGGATTCCTTACGAGGGGCTCCAACGAGGACTAGGGGGAAGCTTGAACGCTTCTCTATACCTCGGTAAAAATACTAGAGTCATCGACGAGAGTTTGCATCTCTATCTCATGTTTACCTTTCGCATTTACATTGTTACCTAGGTTATGTGTTTTACTTTCCTAACTTAATTGATAGGCTAGTTGATAGGATTGGAATCTAGGTTGCAAGACTCTTTTGCGGTAGAGATACCAACACACTAGCAAAACTGTATTTGCACATTTAGATAGATTACTTTCTTGCATAGGTGAAAGCTCTAGTTTGGTTTTGGTGAATTGATGAAACCCTAAGTGCTAACCTAGTTTATCAAAGTGATTATGAGATAGGTAGTACTACTCTAAGTGATGAAGCAATGGTGAAAATCATGATGATGGTGATGGCATGGTGATGATCAAATGCTTAGACTTGGAAAAGAAGAAAGAGAAAAACAAAAAGCTCAAGGCAAAGGTGAAACTTGATAGGAGCTTTTTTGTTTTGGTGATCGAGACACTTAGTGAGTATGATCACATTTAGGATCGATAGCCGTACTATTAAGAGGGGTGAAACTCATCGAAATGTGGTTATCAAAGTGCCACTAGATGCTCTAACTCATTGCATATGCATTTATGATCTAGTGGAGTGCTAACACCCTTGAAAACATTTGTCAAAAATATGCTAACATATGTGCACAAGGTGATACACTTGGTGGTTGGCACATTTGAGCAAGGGTAAAGAAGATAGAGTTGAAAAGGAGTTAGTCGCGCTGATCACAGAGTGACCAGACATGTCCGAAATTGAGACCGGACGGGTCCGGTATTTTATCCAGTCTTGGGGTAGTCAGACAAAAGTGACCGGACACATCCGGAATCAGGACCGGACGCGTCTGAAATTTGGACCCGAGGCGAGCGACTAAGTGAAAGTGACCGGACTTTGGCTCAGTGGAGTGACCGGACGCTGATGAGTTATTGTTCAGCGCTAGGTCAAAGTGATATAGCCTGATGCAGGATTGCAGAGATCTACCGGACGCGTCCGGTCACCACACCGGACGTGTTCGGTGTGAATCAGCAAGTCTCGGGTTTTCAGCGCAATAATTCATCGGACGTTGGGAGCGTCCGGTCCGATGTGATCGGACGTGTCCGGTCGTCCCAGAGCGGCTCTGGGAGCTCTCTGGACTTGACCTGACGCTGCGTCTCCCAGGTCCGGTCGTTTTCAAACAGCGCGTCCGATCACGTAGTATTACTGTGCACAGAGATAGCCGTTGGGCGCTAATGGCTAAACAATTTGAAAGGGACATGTGGCGATCTGGCTGTGACTGGACACAGCTACCGGACTCGTCCGGTGCACACGACCTGCGCGTCCGGTCGTCCCGCAGTCAGCCTAATAATTGAGCCGACGATTCTATTGTTTGGGGGTGTCTATAAATATCGTTTGGCCGGCTCTAGCTCACTCTCTTGGTCATTTGCATTAACATAGAAATCTTGTGAGCTTAGCCAAAGCCCCCCTACTCATCTCCATCTTTGATTCATCATCTTTGTGAGATTGGGAGAGAATCCAAGTGTATTGCTTGAGTATTTGCATATAGAGACACTTGGCATTCGTGTTTTGCTGCGGGTTTAGCTTGTTACTCTTGGTGGTTGCCGCCACCTAGACGGCTTGGAGCAGCGAGGATCGTCAAGCGGAGGTTGATGATTGTCTCCGGCTCCGATCGTGGTGATTGTGAGGGGTTCTTGACCTTTCTCCGGTGGAGAGCCAAAATGTACTCTAGTAAATTGCTCGTGGCTTGTGTGGTCCTCATCTTGTGTTGGTTGTGCGGCACCCTATTGAGGGTTTGGCGTGTGATGCCAATTAGCACGTGAACCTCTAAGTGAGTAAATCGCCACAACGGGGACTAGCTTGCCGGCAAGCAAGTGAACCTTGGAGGAAAAATCATTGTGTCTTGATTGTCTCCTTGGTATTCATTGGTATTCACTCATTGGTCACTTGCAACGGTGGTATACCTCTCTACCACTCTCTTGTATTTTATTATACATTCACTTGGATAGAGCTAATGGTAGTAAAGACTAGATAGTGTATATTAGTGACATAGCTTTGTTGTGATATACTAGAGATCATAGAAAATAGAATTGGGTAGGTGGCTTGCAACCCTAAGTATAGTGCTAGCGCAAAATTCGCTTTGCCATCTTATTGACTAATCATTTATCTTAGTGTTGTTGTAGAAATTTTTAATAGGCTATTCATCCCTCTAGCCATTAGGATCTTTCAATAGGTTTTGCTAAGGTGGAATTAGGGGCCATAGTTTAGAATAGATTTTTAAGTTGCCTAATTCACCTCCCTGTTAGGCGTCACGGTCCCTTTCAAAGTCAAACAAGGCTGCACAGTATCATAGGAAATCTCTAGTGGTTGCCCATACACAGCACCGCAGAAAGTGGCATCAGAGAAACTCTGCATGGGGTCTCAAAGACCTACCGGATTTTTCTAGTGGTGGTGACCACATGTGTACTAGAGAGCGTAGTGTAAAAAATAAAGTTCAACAGAAAGTTTAGAGTATCACTGGAATTCTCCGGTGACCAGAAGAGGGAGTGTTGATATTTATTAATGCACACAGATAAATCCGTAAGCGCACGGATACCGCTATAGCTTTCACCTGAAAGTATTCCAAGTATCATATCCACAGGAAAACGTGTGAGACTAACTACGGTCTAACTTAACTAGGGGTAGCAACAAGGTTAGAATAAACAGAAGCGTGGAGAGGATTACTAAGGTTCTCTAGTTCTGACTTGGGTAAGCTATGTCTTCTACTATTCAACTGGGGACATTACTTAAGGAAAGACACCAGCAGTGGATGCTTCCCATAGTAACCGGGTCCTACTTGGCCTACAAACGGGAGGTGGATTATAGAGGATTCAACGAGGGTATAAAAGTCACCTTCATGAGCTACCACCAATCCGGAATGTAGGGTTCATCCACGATTAACCTAAGTCTAAGCACCACGCTTACACTTACGATTAATACTTTACTCCCTCTAGAACAGGAATAAAGAACCCAAAAGAGTCATGAACCTGAAGAACAATATAAATAAGATGCTTACTTGAATCAGAAGTTGATTACCAGATAAGTCTCAGAAGCAAGCTCAAATAGAACTTGGATCTGCCAAGGTACAAGCCATAGAGAGAGCACCGATAGGCCGGCACCTCCTCCAAACTCTTCTCTCACTCTCCATCTCACTATTTTTATTTATAAGACTAGATCCTATGGAGGACTAATCTTCTCTTGATAGCTAGCTCGATTCTGAAGATATGAATTAGGGTTTCAGGAATGGCTCTAGGGAGGGGGTCCTTTGCTGTATATATAGGGGGTAGCGTCAATTCTGGGCCCTCGAATCAAACCGACTTGAATAAACGACGTAGATGCGATCTTTAAGGCGGTGGGAAACCGACGTAGCGAGGAGGGGCTGCCCTATGGGTCCCACAGGCTGGGCGGCCTACAGGTGGGGCCGGCCGCCCCCATGTCAGCTTCTCATGGTCATCTTCGGTGGAGAGTCCTCTAGTGTACTAGAGAGCGCAGTGTAAAAAATAAAGTTCAACAGAAAGTTTAGAGTATCACTGGAATTCTCCGGTGACCAGAAGAGGGAGTGTTGATATTTATTAATGCACACAAATAAATCCGCAAGCGCACGGATACCGCTGTAGCTTTCACCTGAAAGTATTCCAAGTATCATATCCACAGGAAAACGTGTGAGACTAACTACGGTCTAACTTAACTAGGGGTAGCAACAAGGTTAGAATAAACAGGAGCGTGGAGAGGATTACTAAGGTTCTCTAGTTCTGACTTGGGTAAGCTATGTCTTCTACTATTCAACTGGGGACATTACTTAAGGAAAGACACCAGCAGTGGATGCTTCCCATAGTAACCGGGTCCTACTTGGCCTACAAACGGGAGGTGGATTATAGAGGATTCAACGAGGGTATAAAAGTCACCTTCATGAGCTACCACCAATCCGGAATGTAGGGTTCATCCACGATTAACCTAAGTCTAAGCACCACGCTTACACTTACGATTAATACTTTACTCCATCTAGAACAGGAATAAAGAACCCAAAAGAGTCATGAACCTGAAGAACAATATAAATAAGATGCTTACTTGAATCAGAAGTTGATTACCAGATAAGTCTCAGAAGCAAACTCAAATAGAACTTGGATCCGCCAAGGTACAAGCCATAGAGAGAGCACCGATAGGCCGCACCTCCTCCAAACTCTTCTCTCACTCTCCATCTCACTATTTTTATTTATAAGACTAGATCATATGGAGGACTAATCTTCTCTTGATAGCTAGCTCGATTCTGAAGATATGAATTAGGGTTTCAGGAATGGCTCTAGGGAGGGGGGGTCCTTTGCTGTATATATAGGGGGTAGCGTCAATTCTGGGCCCTCGAATCAAACCGACTTGAATAAACGACGTAGATGCGATCTTTAAGGCGGTGGGAAACCGACGTAGCGAGGAGGGGCTGCCCTGTGGGTCCCATAGGCTGGTCGGCCTACAGGTGGGGCCGGCAGCCCCCCATGTCAGCTTCTCATGGTCATCTTCGGTGGAGAGTCCTCTAGTGTCCTCTAGAACCTTCTAGAGTTGTTTACGCCACGAAAAAACGTGATTTACTTTGACGAATAGGTCCACCTTAACGGTTTTCTGGATAAACCTTGCTGAAATCATAGATTCACCAAAACTCGTGGAATTTGTTAATTTAAACCCCTATACCTATGTTTGGTGATGGAATTAAGCATTTATGTAGGTTATGTTGACGGTTTATAATTGGTGCTAGTGATCATCAACAGGGAGCACTGGAGAACATAGTGGCAATCCAAGGCTAAACAAAAAGAAATTGGAGCCACAGGGCAGAAGCAACACAAGACAAAGAAGCTCCAATGATTAGCATATCTAACGACTATATATATTCAAATGGCTAGTACATGTGGTACCACCAGATGGTCTGATGCGTGTGCATTGGAACTTTTCGATGCCTTGCAGAAAGCTATAGCTTGCCACTTGGCATTGTGTTGGAGTGCGCTGAAGTTGTAGAAGTGTTGAGGCACTCACCCAAGTGCTCTAGCCACCAAAAGTGCTTAAGAAAATATTAAGTGAATAGCGTAGTGCTTAGGCTAGTTAGACCACTGCATTGGCGCTTTCCTTGAGGCCTAGGTTTAGTGTTTAGTGAGGTTTGCATGCCTCTTTGCATCCGATGCTTGCATGCACCATATATACTTGTACACTAGAGGCTTTGTAATCTTGCGAGGTTACACTAACCGTGTTTGTGGTGTGGCCCTCTAGCTTGTACATCACGAACAAGTGATCCACCACGTTTTGTCCGGAAACACGATAGTGAAGACAAAAGAGCGGTAAGGCCTAGTAGAGACGAAGTTGCATGTGGGGAAGGGTAGCAGACTCCATAGAGTTACCCGGCTGGGAGCTTGTCCTTGCGAGGGGATCCAACAAGGACTAGGGGGAAGCGTGAGCTTCTTGATACCTCAGAAAAATCATTGTCGGTCAATGGGAGTTTGCATTCTCTACCTTTAAGTTTTCACATTTATATTGCGTATGTAGATTGTGTGCTTACCTTTCTAGTTTAGCTTGCTAGCCTAGTTAATATGATTTGAACCGAGGTTTGCATAAATCTTTTGCGGTAGAGATAACAATAGAGCAAAGCCGTAGTACACATTTAGATAATATGTTGCAATGGTTTTGTTAAGTAGTCCTTAGAGGTGATTAGCTTTTAGAAAACCTAATTCATCTTACCTCTTAGGCGTACGGTCCCTTCGGAAGTGCCCAGTCAACCCTTCCTAAAATGTTATTTTTTCCTTTGTGATGTCAAAAATATCAGGAAGACCTAAGCTACAATCTGTGAGCTTCATCTCTCTTGATGACATATGATTTGACGTACTTTCAAGCCATTTTTATCGGCTCTTCATTTGTGCGATCTCTGTCCTTCTCACAGTGCTCTCCTACTCTAGTTGACAGAGGAAGCTACCATGTTTAACCTTATACAAAATTCTCTTTTGTTTTTGTTCCATATGGTCGACATAAACCTTGGAATACACTTAGGTAAGAACTGCTACAACATTACTATGTAGTTGCAGTATAAGAAGGTTAGCATAACTGATGCTAACACACCAATTTCCTCCCTAAATGATTCACTTCTGTGCCATTTTTTTTCTTAAAGTGATGATTGCAAAAAAATACTACTAAATTAGCAAGAACATATGTCTACATTGCTCAGGCATGCGGCATGGAGAAAATATAATCATCCAATGCCATTATCTTCACAATGAAACATGAGTTAAGGCCAACACGAATGATTTGTTCCGGAATAGAGTGTTAGACCATGATGATCTGATTCAAAAACAATTAATGACACCGGAGGGAATGTCATTCAAGGTGATAATAAAGAGGACTACTCAATAGTATATTTCTAACCTAGATATGGTCATATTTATTTATATGTATCAAGATTACAAAACATACCACTAAAGTATGCAGACATTAATATAGGTAAGGACAAACCAGACATTTATTATATTATTGTCCATGCCTCTATATAAATACTACCATCTAAGGAGCCTGTCAAGGACCACATTCTAGTAGAAGCACATTTGCAAGTAGTTCTTCCCTCAAATCATGGCAGCCTTCCGACATGGCACAATGGGGAATGTGTGCCTTATAGTTGCTCTTTATTTGTCATGATTATACAATCAACATAATTTCCCACAACAGGTACATACATACTTTTTGATACGCAATATATTGAGTTGACAAAATACACTAACCAGTAATTTGCAGATGATGTATGCTGTGATGTGCTACGACAACGATGTGTTCCTAGAAATAGTAATATCCACCTATGTCGAGTGTGGTACGGAGAACACCAATTCAAATCTGCCTTTTGCAAGAGGACTCCTCCTTTTCTTGACCATTGTTGCTGCCAAATAAAGTGCTCTACCACCAAGCGCCTAAGTCCAAGACCCCAGAAGCCTAGGGGTTCTACTTAAATAATAATATTTTCCCATTACTGTTTTCTTGTTTCAACAATATCAATTAAATAAAGATGTATTTGGCTAACTTGCTCTTGTATGTAATGTGGCCCATTTAAGACCTGTTTGGCACGGCTCCTCCTGAGGGGCTCCTCCGGAGGAGCCGGAGCCGTTTTGGAGGAGCCACAAAATTGTGGCTCCTCCAAAACGGCTCCGGCTCCTCTGTTTTTTTACTGAAAAACGGCTCTTCCAAGAAAACGTTTGGCAGGGCTCCTCTGGAGGAGCCGGAGCTGGAGCCGGAGAGGAGCCCTGCCAAACAGGTCCTTACTTGAAGGAAATGCAACAAAGATGTTCTAACTATATAACCATTACAACATGACTATATAATCGCATTAATATATAGGGTTATTTTCCTCACGGTACCTAATCCATGACATGACATCCTTGTGAAAAAACTATTGTCATACAAGATGTGTCAACACCTTCTATGGCAAAACAATAGAATATCATAGATTTGGTGAAGACCCCATTTTCATGGAAAACAATTATGACGCTCGCAATCTTCATAGAAAATGTCATAATAATGCATAAGGCTTCGACACATGGACGATAACGTGGCATAGATGACATGGCAAGTGACTTGTTAGATGACGTGGCACGTATGCCGTAACAAAATTGATTGTCATAAGTTACCTTGCCCCATATGGCATGAGATTATTTTTTCATCCTACTTATTTGGGCTGAGACCATGTAAAGCCCAATTGGTTTGGGTCGAGCTGATTGCAGCCCATTTCTTCTTAGAAAGATATTTGAAGATATCCGGCTTTAATATAAAGTTGTGCGGCCGTCCTAATAAAAAAAAAGAAAAAGAAAAAAAGGTGATGCGACCTTGCTGTACCGTGTACCACGGAGACGCCAGTCCTAGCTTGGGAAATCAACCACCTCATCCGTCCGCGCGTGCGCGTTGACACAAAAGTCCCTCTCCCTCCCCTCAAAACCCCCCGCCGCGGCGTTCCCCCTCGGCATCTCCGGCATCCGTTCGCCATGAACGATGCTGCGATCATCTCCAGACTCGGCCTCGCCACCTCCGGGTCTGGGGCCGGGTCCCGCGTGGACTGCCGGCCGCCGACGCCGGCGGTGGGTTTCACGGCGGGGCCGAGGGCGCGCTCAGTTGCGGTCGCCGCCGCCGCCTCCTCTTCTCCGGCGACCGGCGGCGTGGCGCCGGTGCCGCCCCATTCGAATCACTCGTAAGATCTCCGTATCTCTCTTTGAACTTCCTGTGGAATCTTGTTCGCGGGACTAAGGGGAGGACGCAGGAGCCTTCTTCAATCGTTTTTTTCCCCTTTCAATTGATGTAATGTGTCGTTGTATTGCGCGGATGGGACTATGTCGTTTGTGAAGAATTTAGCAGAGCTAGCTTTGTAGACTGCCAGAAGCCAGATTATTGTGGATCTTGGCGAGATTTGCCAGATGGATTGTGCTGACCAGGTTGTTATGTTGAAATCTTGCATTGCCGTCCCTAACAAAAACGGAATTTTGGTAGTGCTTTACATGATTATACAGGGCGCATGAATTGTTAAGGAAAATAGTTTCAGAGATCATCATCTTTTAGTAATTCTGGAAGGGGCAACACATTTTGGTGTTGATCATTAGTGCAGTGGGGGTATCAAAGGCATCGGTTACATTATGTTGATCATATTAATATGAAAATTAAAAATCCTTGTACCTTTGGTCTGGTATTGTTTAAGAAAATAAACAAATCAATATGCTACTGTTTTCGTTATTGTGCCATATGGCATATAATGTAATTTGATGGTCTTGCTACTAGTATATGATTTAGATTCACAGAGTAAGTTCAAACACTAAAGAAATGAATTGGGTTTTAGATAATATAACCAACAAAAAGCTAGATTTTTATTCACATGACAAATGGAATAGACGGATGATTGCATTTTGTGAGAGTAAAGCATGAGCTTATGCTGTGGGATCTATGTTTTTTATTCTCTTTCCAAATTGTTAGTTATATTGCAAATATGGGTTTGAGTCATGATTGTTTCTTTTCTTTTCTTTTTTTTAACTTATCACTATTCTTTAATGAAATGACCCGCAGCTCTCCGCACTGATTGTGAAAATAAAACTCAATTGCTGATGTAAAACTCTAGAATGTTGTAGTGGGATCAATAGTGCAAAGCAAAGGAATGTATAATACAAAAATGCTAATTCAAATGGTTGGTAAGATACATTATGGCGTGGCACATTTTTATACCTTAGTAAAAACATGGATAATCTGCCAAAATAATGAATGCTTCTACTTTCTACACTTTATTGTTGATATACTTTACCAATTGGCACCAATGGTCCTATTGGAAAACATGTAGCAACCAGTTCTTGCTTTAGTTTGTACGGATCTTTATGTTGGAAAAAGTGTAATATTTTCACTCATAAAAAGAAGCTTTCAGGATCAATAGTGAACTCATGAAACATGTTTATTTTCACTCAAATAAACAATGAGTAATCTTCCATGTTTATTGAATTTTTGCTAAACAACTTAGACCTCTATTTTTCTTCTCAAGTTCAGTTTGATCAATATCAATTGAAAAAACTATTCTCTGTTATATGCTATTTTAGTTCTTTTCTTCCAGGAACCTAGGGAACAACTAAACAGCGAAGTAGCATGCTTAAACTGTAAGTGTTGTAGATAGTTCAATCCTGTGGTAAAGTGCTATTAAGCATATACAACTAATTATTTATTATTAACAGCGTTTACTGCAGTTTCTCACTGATGTGCCTTGATGAACTTTCCTTAATTTGTAGGGTTATAAAGCGTCACACGCTATCAGTTTTTGTTGGTGATGAAAGTGGGATGATCAATCGAATTGCTGGGGTTTTTGCTAGAAGAGGATATAACATCGAGTCATTGGCTGTTGGGTTGAACAAGGATAAAGCATTATTTACAATAGTAGTGTCAGGAACAGACAAAATATTGAACCAGGTTGTAGAGCAACTAAACAAACTTGTTAATGTCATAAAGGTTAGTCATTTTCCTGTACCATTTGACTTATGGAATGATTGATAACTAATATGCAGTGAAACTCATTGCTTGTTGGTCTGTCCTTATTCTGTTCAATAGTGTATCTTGTACTCAGCTTAATATTTGGATTAATAAACAGGTTGATGACTTATCAATGGAACCACAAGTTGAAAGAGAACTTATGCTTATAAAAGTAAATGCAGAGCGAGAAAAGCTACCCGAGGTACAAACATACACATCTTTCAAAATGTATCTGTTGGTCCGATTGGATCTCAGACTCAGATCTAGAACTATCAGAGGGCAGTTTGGCCCTTGGCCGCTTGGATTGAATGAAAATGAAATGGCTTGTTTTTACAATGACACTCCCTTGCTCTTTATAGGCAAATGGGACTTTCACTTGCTGCAGCATATTCTAACCACTAAAGTGGATGTTGAACATATTCCTAATATTAGGCTTGGAAGCAAGGAAAGTAAAAAGTGCAGTAAAAGTAAGATACAAGTGCTTTAGCACTAAGCTTATTTATCAGTCTCTCTCTAAGCCTTGTGCCGAGCACTGGAGGTAATCTGCTGTAGCCCAATCCTCTCTCTCATCTCCTGGAACTGACTTCCCCAGCGACTTTGTGAGAATGTCAGCAAGCTGATCAGTAGTGGCAGTGTGGCTGGCCTTGATGCTTCCGTCCTCCAAGCAATCTCTGATGAAGTGGTACTTGATGCGGATGTGCTTGCTTCTTTCATGGAAGAGAGGGTTCTTGGCTAGAGCTAGAGCAGACTCGCTGTCCACCTTTAGCTCAACCACATCCACCTTCCTGCCAAGGAGCTCTGCCAGCATCCTTGACAGCCACAGCGCCTGTGTTGCGGCAGTGGTGGTGGCGATGTACTCCGCTTCACAGCTTCAGAGGGCCACCACCTTTTGCTTGAGGGATTGCCAGCTGACCAAGCAATCACCGAGGAAGAACAAAGTCCCGGTTGTGCTTTTGCTGGTATCCACATCACCGGCGAGGTCGCTGTCGCATTAGCCGACGAACCGCGCCGTGTCGGGGGCCCTTCCGTAGTGAAGACCGTAGTCGAGGGTGCCCGCCACGTAGCGTAGGATTCGCTTGACGGCCTGCAGATGCTCCATCGTTGGCCGCTCCATGACGGCGAACGTGATGTCCGGCCGAGTATGGACCAGGTAGCGCAAGCTCCCGATCAGCCGGTCGGTAATGGGTTGGATCGACCTCCGTCGTGCTCTCCCGACTCGGCTTGAGCTTCTCCTCCATCGGGGTGTGGGCCAGATTGCATCCTGTCCTGCCCGCCGAGCTCAAGGATGCGCTTGGCGTAGTGGGCTTGGCGGAGGGCGATCCCGCTGGCGTCCTAGCGCACTTCGACGCCGAGGTAGAAGCAGTGGAGGCTGAGGTCACTCATGTCGAACGCCTTCTTCATCTGCGCCTTGAACACCTCCACCTTCTGCTCTTCAGAGCCGGTGATGATGAGGTCGTCGACGTAGACGCCGACCAGTAGAACGTTGCGTCCGCTGCCCCGCCGGTACACCGCCGCCTCATGCGCGCTCTCTGCTTGAAGCCCATCTTCTTGAGTGTGGCGTCGAGCTTCGTGTTCCAGGCGCGCGGTGACTGGCGCAGGCCATAGAGTGCCTTGTGTAGGCAGTATACCTTCCCTCTTCTCCGACGACGGTGTAGCCAGGTGGCTGGCGCACGTAGACCTCCTCCTTGAGGTCGCCGTTGTGGAAGGCGGACTTCACGTCCATGTGGTGGCCTTGCCACCCCTCTTTAGCCACCAGCGCGAGAAGGACACGGACTGATTCCATGCGCGCCACGGGGGCAAAGGCGTCGTCGTAGTCGATCCCATCCTGCTAGACGAAGCCGCGTGCTAGCAGCCGCGCCTTGTGCTTGATCACCGTGCCCAGCTCGTCCTTCTTGAGCTTGAACACCCACTTCAGGGTGATAGGGCGGTGGCCGTCAGGCAGTTTTGCTCGACGGACTTGAGCTCCTGCTCCATCGCCGCCCGCCACGCCGGATCACCCTATGCTTCAGCAAAAGTGGTCGGCTCACCGACGTGCGTCAGATGAAGCTGGGCGAAGAGCCTCTCGGGCTGGTCCGGTGAAAACTGGTCGCCGAAGATGCTTGCCACCATGCGGTATCATAGAGGCTCATCGTCGTGTCGTAGTAGGCGTCCAGGCGGTCTTCATCATCCTCTAGCGGCATGGCGTACTTGACCTCCGGCTGCCCTGCGTGTGCTGGTGTCGCAGCGGGCGACGTAGAAGACGCCGAGGAGGTCGGCTGGTACGCTGGAGAGATCAGCTGCGATGCTGTAGAGGTCGGAGAGGTCGGCTGCGGTGTTGGAGAGGTCGGAGCTGCTGCCTATGGACTACCGACCACCACCGATGGACTGCCGAGTTCCCCCGGATTTGGTGAAGAGGTCGGCACTAGTGATGAAGACCCATATGTCGAAGAAGATGCACCTTGTGCTTCCTTAGCACCTCCAGCCCACGCGTACTCGACGGTGAAGTTGCGAAGCGTGGTCGCCGACCCGTCATCCATCGCCTTGTCCCATGCCTAGCCGCGTCCTTCATCGAACACAACGTCGCGCGCCACATGCACGCACCGTGTCGCCGGGTCGAGCAAGCGGTAGGCCTTAGCCCCCTCTGCATAGACGATGAAGACCCCCGGCGAGCTGCGATCGTTGAGCTTGCTGACGTGGTTCAACTCCTTGACGAAGGCGAGGCAGCTGAAGACGCGCAGGTAGCTGACCGCCGGCTTGCGACCGTGCCAGGCCTCATACGACATCTTGCCGTTGAGCGCACTGGTCGGAGAGCGGTTGAGCAGGTGTACGATGGTCATCACGGCCTCTCCCCAGTAGACCGTTGGCATGCTGCGCTGCTTGAGGAGCGCGCGCGTCGCTGCCACCACCGTCTGATTGCGGCACTCGACCACGCCGTTCGGCTGCGGTGAGTAGGGCGCGGTGTAGTGGCTGAATCCCCTCGTCGGCGCAGTACGCCACGAACTCAGCTGCCGTGAATTCGCCGCCGTTGTCCGTGCGGAGCACCCGGAGCTTGCGGCCGCACTCCTTCTCCGTGGCTGCCTGGTGGCGCTTAATGGCGTCTGCAGTTGCCGCCTTGGAATCGAGCAGCACGGCCCACATATAGCGGGTGGCGTTGTCGACGAGCAGTAGGAAGTAGCGCCGACCTCTAGGAGTGGCCGGTGACACTGGTCCGCAGAGGTCGCCGTGGACCACCTCGAGCTGCTCGGTGGCGCGGTAGGAGGCTTCAGCTTGGTCACCACACAGGTGTCGGAGAGCTGCTCGACGTGGTCGACGCAAGGCATGCCGCGGACCATCTCCTTCTTGCTGAGCTGCTTCAGGGCTTCGAAGTGAAGGTGCCCGAAGCGCTCGTGCCAGCGCCACGCCTCATCATCCCGGCGCGCAGCAAGACAGAGGGGTTGCGCCACCTATACATGGAGCACATAAAGGCGGTTGCTTCCCTGGTTCACCTTGGCGAGAAGACGGCGGCCTCTATCCCAGATGCGCAGCACACCGTCCTCAATCTCCAGCCGCGAGCCGTTCTCGTCCAGCTGCCCGACGCTGATGATGGAGTTCTTCAAGGCCGGGATGTAGTACACCCTGGTGAGAAGACGGTGCTCCCCCGTCTTGGCCTTGAAGATGACCGAGCCGACGCCCGTGATCTCGACGGCGGAGGCGTCACCGAAGTTGACGGAGCCCTTCACGCCAGAGTCCAGGTCGGAGAATAACTCGCGCTAACCAGTTGTGTGGTGCGTCGCACTGGTGTCGAGGTACCAGCCGTCGATCTTGTCATTGGCGGCACCTTTGCCGTGGAAGGCGTGGGCGTGCGGTTCGTCGAGGTGGAGCTCGACGGAGCCAGTTGACCCAGAAAGGGGAAAGCTTGGACCTTTCACCCCCTCCCCTGTGTCTTGCTGCAGCTCGACGCATCCGTGCGCCAGGAACAGGGTGGCATCCTGGTCCTTTGCTTGCGCGACGTGAGCCTGCCCACTGCGTCATGGAGGAAGGCGGTAGTACTTAGCCCAGTGGCCAGTCCTGCCACAGTTGTTGCAGGTGTCATTCCGGGTGGCCTTGCACTCGCCGGCGGCGCCGCCATCAGCCACGCCGACCTGGCCCCGGTCCTTCTCTCCTTGCCGCCGCGTGGACACCGGCGACGCTCCTTGGAGTCGGACAAGTCGGATCCTTCCTCCATGTCGAAGGCGCGCCACTGCTCCATTGTGTGCAGCAGCTTGCCTCCAGCGGCGCCCTGCTCGGAGTCTGGCGCTTGTTCACGGTCTTGCACCGCCTTGAGCCTACTGGTGATGTCCTCGATGGTGAACTGCTCGAAGTCGAGGAGCGTCTCGATCGAATTGACGATCTGCGCATATCTCTTCGTCATGCAGCGGAGGGATTTCTCCACCGCGCGCTCCTCCCTGAAGTCGGTGTCGCCGTTCCGCGCCATCTGCTCCATCAGATTGGTAAGACGAAGGGCAAAGTCCTCGACTTGCTCACCAGGCTGAAAGGCGAGGCCTTCCCACTCCCCTCGGAGGCGCTGCAACGTCGCCCGGCGCACACGATCTCCGCCGAAGCGTGCCGCGGCGATTGATTCCCACGTCAGCTTTGCCGTAGCCTTGTTAGCGAGGGAGGCGCCGAGCTCGGTGGGGACGGCGGCGCACAATGCCTCCAGCGCCCGGCGATCGTTGTCGTAGTCGACGCCGCCGACGTGAACCTCTTCCCACCGCCGCCGGGCCTGCAACTTGACCTTCATCAGCAGGCTCCACTCGTGGTAGTTCGACGTGGTGAGCATCGGCCACGGCGTTCCTGCTCCGGAGTCGTGGTAGACCGTCTGCAGCATCGGGGAGCGGCCGCGCCGACCACGCCGCCGCTCTGGTGACGGCGACTGGCGGTGGCGCCCGACCGGGCAACGCGATCCTCCGGCTGGCTTCGGCTCCTGCTCCATCTCGGCGCGCAGTGCTGCTGCCGGGCCGTCTCGGCCGCCGCCGCAGCCGCTGCCTCTGAGGCAGCAAGGCGCGTCGTGCGATCGTTGGCTCTGGCACCCATGGCGGCGCGCGCTCTCGCGATCTGGCTGGCGGTGGACATGGCGCTCGCTCACTCAAGAACCCTCTCGGCTCCGATACCAGATTGTTGGCCCGATTGGATCTCCGATTCCGATCTGGAACTACCAGAGGGCAGCTTGGCCCTTGGCCGCTTGGATTGAATGGAAATGCAATGGCTTGTTTTTACAATGACACTCGCTTGCCCTTTATAGGCAAAGGGGACTCCCACTTGCTACAGCATATTCTAACCACTAAAGTGGATGCTGAGCATATTCCTAACACTAGGCTTGGAAGCTAAGGAAAGTAAAAAGTGCAGGAAAAGTAAGATACAAGTGCTTTAGCACTAAGCTTATCTATCATTATCTGCACTTTCTTGCCCTGTAACTCTAAAACTGAACATTAAATGTGGATCATTTTTTTGTATAGAGAAATATGAAAATTGACAACAGGGACATTACAGATCAGTTGTGTGGATTACTAAACTTTGTTGTTTGGCTGACATCTCGAGTTGTGAATGCAGATAATGGGTTTGGTTCGCATTTTCAAAGCAGAAGTGGTTGATCTTTCAGACCATACACTAACTATTGAGGTAATATCTTTGGTGTGTCTTGACTCACAGATTACTCATGTTGTCCTTCTTATGGTTCTTTGTGGTTATGTTAAAGGTAACTGGAGATCCTGGAAAGATGGTTGCAATACAGAAGACTCTGAGCAAATATGGGATCAGAGAAATTGCTAGAACTGGCAAGGTCATTCTTGTTCAGAAAATAGTGAAAGTATATCGTGATCTTGTTCTTTACTAGACCTAATGAACATTTGTCTTTTAGATAGCTTTGCGCCGTGAAAGAATGGGAGAAACTGCTCCGTTTTGGAGGTTCTCTGCAGCTTCTTATCCTGATCTCGAAATGGCAATACCTTCAAATTTCAGGCAAAACACTGGTGTGAGGGCAGTCGATCAGAATCCAGATGAATCTTCAGGGGTAAGAAACCACATTTGTGATCTGACAATGACTTATGTATGATGTGTGCTTTAGCTTCTCGTCACGGTTACGATGTTTTTCAACTGATCTTTGCATAGTTTTATGCTTCCTATTGATTAGCTTCATGTGGACAATTGGTTCATCTCCTTGAATTGGTTTTAGTTGGTGTTGTTTCTGTTGAATTGGGTACTAAGTAGTAAGTACAACTCCATTTGTCTTTCTGAGGAAATTTCTTATTGCTATTGATAGTTTAGTAACATTAGTCCCTCCAATGTGAACCTTGTATTTGTGCACATGCACATGTTGTCATTTATATATTTTCCTATTTGCACATATCTGACATTGCAGTCAAATAGCACGAATGCATTACTTAATTTGTTTTTTGGACTCTTTAAGTATTTTGGCAGTATCATTAGTTACTAGAGTAAGAAAATACTTGCACATTCTTTTTCTTATTGTTGTCATGTTTTCTGGAATACTTTTTATCATCCTCACACTGTTAGTTTGAATTTTGAATGAGTTTTTTATATGTGCTTCTCTGCTTCTACCCAGGGTGATGTTTATCCAGTGGAATCTTATGAAAGCTTCTCATCAAGTCAAATTCTGGATGCTCATTGGGGTGTTATGACTGATGGTGATGTACGGTCTTGTGTTCTATTAACTTTGAACTGTTTGGTGCTAGCTAGAGATGATCTACATCTATAGTTGTACTCATTTCACTATTGTGTTGTTAAAAGTTAAAAGACATGACCGCATGAGTACCCTGAATCCAAATTTGAGACTAGATATATAACTAAATTATGGTTCACAGTGAAGAATCGAAAATACAATTACTGCAACTAAATTTAACTATTTATAAACTAAACTAGCAATTTCTTATTGCTTCAGCCAACAGGGTTTTGTTCACATACTCTATCAATTCTTGTGAATGATGTCCCTGGAGTTCTCAATGTTGTAACAGGTGTTTTCTCCAGAAGGGGCTACAATATTCAGGTTGTACAAACCAATTTAGTATTTTATGCTCCCTTTATTTTGGTAATTGCATAATCCAGTCCTTGCTAAACAGTAACCATCACTTTCCCAGAGTCTTGCTGTTGGTCCAGCTGCAAAAGAAGGAACTTCTCACATCACTACTGTTGTTCCCGGAACTGATGAATCCATTGGCAAGCTAGTACATCAACTGTACAAGCTCATTGATGTTCATGAGGTAAAAATTAACATTGCAGTTTGCATGATTGTTATAGAAGTCGTGCTGAAAGTCATTTTGGTTTCTCAGGTCCAGGATTTTACTCACTTACCATTTGTTGGAAGAGAGTTAATGATCATAAAGGTTGCTGCAAATGCTACAGCTCGAAGGGATGTCTTAGATATTGCTCAGATTTTTGAGGCACAAAAAGTTGACATATCAGACCACACGATTACACTACTGGTAACTATTATTGAAAGAATGTTTACTGGCACTTACCTCATGTAGCACTCTAATATCCTTCCAAAATTATGACAATTTAATCTACTTGTATAAAATCCTTGGGACAGTAGAAACACCATATGGTTTATCATTGACTTCATCATGTAGTTATGATCCTACCATGAAGTGACATAGTATATTTATGTTAAAAGGTAAAATAAGGTCAGCTACTGAAATTTTTAGCAACTGTCCATTGTAGTTGTAGAAGACCGATTCAAAATTTATATATTTTTTTTGGCTTGACCAATGATTTTCCCCTTTGTTTTTGATTAATACGCATACCAATTTCTTTAATCAATAATGTTTCCTTGGCGCCATGACTAGTGAGCAATAACCTTGTTGGCATATGCAGCTCACCGGAGATATTGACAGAATGGTTAGATTGCAAAAGATGCTGGAGCAATATGGTATCTGTGAGGTTTGTATTGACCATTGAGCTTCTAATTCACATTCATGTCTATCATTAGCCCATTACATGCATGACCCATGAGCAAAATTGTCCAAGTTTTCTTTGTCTGGTGGACTGGATCCAATGCTAAAGTGTGATGAGATGCTTGATACATGTGCAGGTTGCACGGACAGGACGGGTGGCTCTGCTCCGTGAATCTGGAGTTGACTCCAAATACCTCCGTGGGTTTTCCCTCCCTCTGTAATTCTCCATTTTGCAGATCGACATAACACTCCACGATTCAGATCGCACGGCCATTTTTTGACTTATTAGCATGGAAGTGGAGGAATCATTCAAAAATCCTAGGGTGAGAACTGTAGACAATATATTGTCTGGGTTGCTACGTGCTAATGCTGTTAAGCTTCTTGCTTATGCAAGTATCACGCAGCACATGGGGAGAAACCATATCCGGGGTCCAATATTTTCATTACACAGGTTGTATACGTATCCTAGTTGAAGGAAGGGCAAGATATATTCAGAGAAACCATATTGCCCAACTAATGTGCTGTTTGGTTTGGGATTTTGGGCCGTAAGCCCGTAATCAATTCACACCATGAATAGGTTCCCTTGCTTGGGTTGGGCTGGTCCGGTCTGCAGTCGAGCACACCGTGAATGGATACTGGTCCATTTAATCTTAATACCACTCCCCCACTCGACGATATCCGGTCCACTTCCTCGCACGGGTGCACGACCGCTGCCCTTGAACAGCCGCGACTCCCTGGGCTTTGGGGACGTCCCATCCATGTCAATAACGTTTTGGCTTTTCTAGCCTTTGTTACACTATGTCTAGCTTTTGTTTCATGCCAGAGGGTTCTTGCGGCGATAGCAGTGGCGACTCTAGGATTTTGCTCTAGGGTATGCCAGCAAATTTTTTTCATATATAATTCTGTAAAACCATTTGATAATTCGGTAAGAATTATGAATTTGTAACATATAATTCAATATACGCAAATTAAAAGTACATGATAAGTCTTCAATTTGAAGATTTAATTGAAACCATCCATAAATTAGAATATAAACAGCTAAAACAATATATTGTTACAAATATAGAGATAACTCAATGATATTAGCAATGAAAATTGATAGGATTAAAAGAAGAGAAAAGAGTAGAGATTGAACCTCATCTCGGTAGCCGGCTATCGGGCCGGGAGTTAGTCGCGGAAGCGCAGGCAGCAGCAGAGCAGCCTAGGCGGAACGAGGATATGTTGATCTCGATGTTGCGTACTTGCAGCTTGGCCTGAACGCCTGTGCAGATTCATCGATTCGAGACTGCAGGCAAAGACTCCATTGCAGAGTCATTCTGAAGTCTGAATCTTCAATACCTGGATGAGGCCATGATGGCTTTCGATCGATGCCAGAATGAACGAGGCTACAATGGCTGGGCGGCAACCGGTAGGCATCTTTCCCATCGATCAAGGGAGACCACCACGGCACCACGACCTCGATCACGAATGGCTAGAAGCCAAGGTGGCTGGAACCGGAAGGCAAGACGTGAGAACCCTCCTGACCTCCCGTCACGTGGCCGCGTGCACGTGGGCCTAAAAGGCCGTCATGTGATGTGGCCTCGTGCCTGCGTCACCACGTGGGCCTGAAAGGCCGTCGACGTCGCAAAGTTGCCGCAGCCGCGTCATTCGATTGAGTTTGCTTACAAATATACTATACATACAGGTTGCGCAGGGTATGCCGGTGCATACCCGGCATACCCTGTAGCTCCGCCACTGGGCGATAGCCTTAGCGACGGTGATGCCGTTGGGCACTGTTTCCCCATTGGTGGTGTCGTGTTTCTCCTCTAGCATGTCATCCAAGGGTGAAAACCCGATGAAAGCTCTAGTTTGGTTTTGGTGAATTGATGAAACCCTAAGTGCTAACCTAGTTTATCAAAGTGTTCATGAGATAGGTAACACATTCAAAGTGGTGAAGCAAATGAAGATCATGACATGATGATGGTGATGCTATGGTGATGATCAAGTGCTTGGACTTGAAAAGAAGAAAGAGAAAAACAAAAGGCTCAAGGCAAAGGTACAAGTGAAAGGAGCCATTTCGTTTTGGTGATCAAGACACTTAGCGAGTATGATCACATTTAGGTTCGATAGCCGTACTATTAAGATGAGTGAAACTCGTATCGAAATACGGTTATCAAAGTGCCACTAGATGCTCTAACTCATTGCATATGCATTTATGATCTAGTGGAGTGCTAACACCCTTAAAAATGTTTGTGAAAATATGCTAACACACATGCACAAAGGTGATACACATTGTGTTTAGCAATTGGGTGCAAGGGTTCGAAACTTCACCGATGGACAGTCCAACGGTGCCACCGGCGCCCTATACAGAAAAGATAGGGTTTCACAGAGTGCACCAGACGCTGTCCTCGTGGGACCGAACGCGTCCAGTGGCTAAACCTAGGCATCGGTCAGTCAGTAGAGACTGACCAGACTCTGAGCGAGTCCGGTCATGTGTGACCGGACGCGTCCGGTCGCTCAGAGAGCTCTCTGGACTCTCTCTAAGTTGCACAGGACGCTGGCTAATAAAACCGACCGAACGCTACTCTGGCGAGTCCGGTGCTAATGACGTGGCGCTCGGGATTTGGTCTGTGTGTTGACCGGACGTTGGGTGAGTCCGGTCAGGGGTAACCGGACGCGTCCGGTCGCGAGTGGAACCTTACTGGAAGTGACCGGATGCTGGGGTCCTGCGTCCGGTCGTGATCAAACTGACGCGCCCAGTCATGAATGGAACCTCTCTGGAAACGACCGGACTCGACAAAGGTGCGTCCGGTCTTGGCACTATGCTGCGTCCGATCATCACTTAACCATTGAGATCGGGCGCTCAACATTTGAAGAGAGGGATGACATGGCAGCCATCCGTTGACCGGATGCTAGCAGGATGCGTCCGGTCGTTCTGACCGGCACGTCCGGTCGCCTCGATTTTCAGTGGACTGAGGAGCCAACGGCTCTATTTCGTGGGGGCTCTCTATTTAAGCCCCTGGCCGGCTCAAGCTCACATGCTTGGCATTTTGCATTGACATAGCAACCTTGTGAGCTTAGCCAAAGCCCTCCCACTCATCTCCATCATTGATTCATCATCTTTGTGAGATTGTGAGTGAATCCAAGTGCATTGCTTGATTGTTTGCATCTAGAGGCACTTGGCGTTCATGTTTCACTGTGAGATTCGCTTGTTACTCTTGGTGGTTGCCGCCACCGAGACGGCTTCGATCGTGGTGATTGTGGAGGGTTCTTGACCTTTCTCCGGCGGAGAGCCAAAAGGTACTCTAGTAAATTACTCGTAGCTTGTGTGATCCTTATCTTGTGTTGGTTGTGCGGCACCCTATTGAGGGTTTGGCGTGTGATGTCGATTAGCGCGTGAACCTTCAAGTGAGTGAATCGCCACAACGAGGACTAGCTTGTCGGCAAGCAAGTGAACCTCGGTAAAAATCATTGTGTCATCATTTGATTCCAAGGTGATTGGTATTCATTCCTGTGATTGATTGGTTCATTCCTCGACTAGGCGGTATAACCATCTTGCTCTATCTTTTTACATTACCGTAAACTAGTTGACAAGCTCTTTAGTGTAGCTAGTCGTGAGAGCTTGTTAGTTTGGTTAGTGTGGCTCTTTAGTTAGCATTTGAGAGCACACTAACTTAGTGTGGTAATATAGCCATTGTGTGGATAGAGACTATAGAAACTAGAATTGTGGTAGGTGGCTTGCACTTTTAGTAGGCTAGCGCAACACTCGCTTCGTCTTATATTTGTCTAACCGGTTTGCTAAGTGTTGTTGTAGATATTTTTAATAGGCTATTCACCCTCTCCCTCTAGCCATTAGGACCTTTCACCCGGTCCACTTTGGACGTGCGATGGTGGCGCCATCGGCGTCGCTCTCTTCCTGAAGGTGTCACATCTGGATTATCGTTGCGGCTTCGATGCGAGACGTGGGGTTCGCGACTGGAAGTCGGAGCTGCTCTTAGGTGTTTGAGTTTGGCAATGATGACCTGTGGCGGCCGTTACCTTTAGACTCGTCGGGGGGTGACTAGTGGGTGGCCTGCCATGGGAAGTCGGCGTGCTCGGCAACGATGACCCATGACAATGTGTCGTGTTTGTGCTCAACCACGTTGTAGGGTGGTTAGCCCCTCAGGTGTCATTTTGGCAACTTGGTTGGCTAACCTTCTTGTACATTTTATTGTTCTTTCGTCTTAATTGAGCGCGGCATGCCTTTGTTTCAAAAAAGAAGAAGAAATGCCAATATTTAGGAGAGTGGAACGCATGGAGACGGATATGATCAAACATTATCTCACTCGATCGAGGCAAGAGAAGAATTTATGTCTTATATTTTATTATACAATAGCAAAACTAGAAATATCTCCATACGTAATGGACCTGTATCGTTGGTGCAATTTTTTTTTATTGGAATGCGACATATCTGATGAGTCTCAATGTTTCAAGATACTAGTACGAGGCGCGCACCCTCGCGCGCGTCCGTGGGCACAGGGAAGTCTTTGAAGACGGGCAAAACGTGTTGGATATCTGTTATTACACCTAAAAAATATAGACTGCTTTCGTCCAACACTTTTTTCGTGCGCGCGCTCGAACTCCGAGTTTGATACGATTTTGAGCCTCCCGCGTACGGCGTACCCCTCGTGCGACGCCCGCCCCTGGGCTTCCACCAGTAGCAGAAGGGCCTCCGGCAGAGCTCCACGGCCGACGCGCGGACGCCGCCGCAAAAGCAAACGCGTTGCATTTGTAGCGGGCACCGGCCGGCGGCTCTGGTTCCTGACGCGGGCGTTCATGAAAATGTGGAGGCGGACCGCGGACGTCGTCGTCGGGGTCGATCGAACCAGGGGCGGATTCACCAATATGGTGAGCTCTGGCGGCCACCAGACCTACCCTCCGGTGACCACCCTCTGTCCTTGCACCTGGGCGAGACACGGAGAGCTCTGCCATGGCCGATGTCTGTTTTTGCGAGTAGGAAAACGATGACGATGAGTCGTTGCGGTTTGCGGACGATGCGACGAGCGAACTGGCCTGACTGGGCCATATGTTAGTCTGATGGAAGTCCAGGCCCCAGACGCAACACGCAAGCTGATTTGGATGACCATCTGGGTTGTGTTTGTTGTGGCCGTCATTCAGTTCCAGTATTCCACCGTTTCTTGCTTCGGCTGGTTCCGACTTCCACCAAGCACAATCCTGATCGAGTGATCGCTCCACCAGCTAG